AAGGCCAGGCAGAGCAAGGGTTGTTCTCCAGAGGAAGCAGGGCTTGAATTAAAATGAAATGGAATGAAATGAAATTGCTGTTTCTCTGCAGTTGTGGAACGCGTTGATTCGTGTGCATCCATGTACAGCCGTTCTATCCAAGGCCATCATGTCTGCCTACTGGTAAAAAAGGTGAGAGCACTGTAACCCCTGAGAGAAGCCAAACCTGGAGCCTTCCCTGCCTTTCTCTGCCTGTTTCCAGTCCCTGAATTTAGCTGGGAATGCGTTTATCCCCACTTGAAAGAAGAGCTAATGTTTTTTTTTTTTTCTTTTTTTTTTCCTTTCGAAGGGAGAGAACTCTGTATCCATAGATGGGAAATGTAATGATTCTACCCTGCTTAGCAACTTGTTGGATGAGATGAAAGAGACATTGTCCAAGTGCTGAATATTCCTTATAAAATATTCCAACAACAAGAAACACACCCAACGTGTAAAGACGAGCAGACCCAAGTGTTAAGTTTCTCCCTCGTACGCATGTACTACCCTGGGGCACGTGCTTTCAGTTAACTCCACCATTGGTTGCAGTTTAGACATTTTAAGGCTGTATGTTACCTTTTTATTTTCAGAACTTTTTACAAACTGTGGTGTTAACCCTTTCTAGCCCAAAGAGATCCTGGTGACATGACTGGAGGAGGGAGGGAGGGAGGGGTGGGCACTATTTATTCAGCAGCTCATGATGATCCCATGACCTTCATCTGTGTGGGACGGCGACTGAGCAGGACTTTATCAACAGTAGCACAGTTTGTTGTTTGTGCTTATGCCAGGGAAGGTTGACTTAATCCTTAGCCATGAAATATGTCTTCAGGGCTGCTGTAGTTGATGTATATTTCTAGCAGAGGCTGGTGCTGGACCAGAAGGCCTCTTTTTGGTTTTTTTTATATATATATATGATTTATTATTATCTCAAGATCTATTGTGATCAGCATATAAATATCCTCCATCTCCTTGAGCTAATCCAAAGGAGCCCTGTGGGAACTGGGATGTTTGAGTTTCTGTTTATAGTAGTTGCCTTGAGCCTTAACCTTCCTTTAGTGACAGCTGGAAGAGTTGAGTGTGGAAGCATGAAAGGACTGGAAGTGTTATTGTTTGGGTCTGCGCTCCCCTCGACTGCCCCACACACGGAATCTGTCAGGCCTCTCCCCTTCGAGCTGTCTCTGCTGATGTGTTTTATGAGTCCACTTCAATTTCACATTCCTGAACAGTTAAGCTGTAGCAAGAAACTGGAAATCCAAAGGGGTCTGTTCCTGTTTTTTTTATCCTTTTGCTCACCAGCTGAGGTTGACCATTACCAGGTTAGAGAAACAGTCATGGGTGCAGGTCCATGTCCTCCCTCTGGGCTCTGAAACCAGCAGGGTCATTCTGTCTCTGTGTCCCCTCAGTGTCCCTCAGCCCTGCCCTTGCAGCTGTGAGAGCAGATTTGGCAGCACAAGTGCCCCTGGGTCCCTGTGGCAGAGCCCTCCCTGCCAGGGTGCAGGAAAAGAGGGATGGAAGGGGAGTCCCTGTCCCAGATGCAGGAAGGAGGAGGGATGAGGATCCCCTCTCCCAGCCAGGGTGCAGGAGAGGGGTCATGGGGAGCTGCTCTCCCATGCAGGATAGGGAGGGGGCTGAGGGGCTGCGGATTTGGGACTGTAGCAGTTGCTTTACAGGGAAGAAGTGGGAGTCTGGGAAGTGCCCATTCTGCACTACTGGGATCTTGTGGAGTCACTGACAGGAAAGGGCTGTCAGTGTCTACAGAGATGCTCAGTATGTCCTTCTCCAACATCCCTTGCTTTCAACTTACTTTGTTATTCCCTTGCTCCATTTCTTTCCTCACAGTTCCGCACCCAGTGAGCAAAACTCCATGGAAGGGTTTTGCTTTGAGGCACAGGTCAGGAGCAGTTGATTGCTCCAAAAAGGTGCCCAGGGAGGAGCTGGCTGTGTCTGCACGTCTCCAGCACCACCACCACTCCTAAAACACCAAACCCCATGCAGGGAGCAGGAAAAAGTGTTGATCTTATTTGTTGGGTGATGTCCTGTACTTTACGCGTGTCTCGTGCTCTTTACGCTCTTCCCACAGGAGGTATTTTGGCAAAGGCTCTGCTCTGGTGCTCTGGGTTCCTTGCCAGGCCCAGCTCTGTGTCCGACCGTGCTGCCACGACGTGGAGGGTTTGGTTTTGGTCAGCCTCCCTTGGTTAGCCAGTTGTGTATTAGAAACTGAACATATTAAAATTGTCTTAAAGGATAATGTTCCTCAATTAGTGTTTGGGTTTTTTAATTCATGGATGAAAACTGTCACTTTAGCATGTAGAGTCTCTTACAGAATCCTGTGCAGTGATTCTAGAATTTTGAAACTGTATGATGTGTTACATTCACAAATTTATTTGCTATCAACATTCCCTAGAAAAAAGAAAAAAAAAAGACAAAGAAAACAATATACCACAAGCTGCTGTAATGATTTTGTGTCAAGATGATCCAATAAACTTTCAAAACAAAGGTAAATTTTTGGCTTTATAAATGGTGCTTTCATAAGACCGTTCCAGTTTGGATGGACCCAAAACCAAGGCATGGATTTACCCCAGGGCTGAATAATGTGTCTTCAGTGGAGGTAAGAGGAATCTCCTTCCTAAAGGAGGTAGGGAATTCCTAATGCCACCCCCCTTGAAAGGCAGCTCTGCAACAGCAGCTGTCACTAACACTGAAATTACAGGAAAAAATAATTCAGACTATCTCAGTTAAATCTCCACTGATTGGTTTTTTTTGGGTTGGTTTTTTTGTTTGTTTGTTTTGGTTTGGTTTTTTTTGATCATGATTGATTGCAGCTAAAATCCAACACTTGGAAAATGGGAGCTCTGGCCTGAATGAGGCCGGAATCGGCCCCTGCTGTTGCTTCCTCTTGGCCTCCAGTGAGATTTGTGACAAATGTGGTGACATTAAGGCCCTGTGAGCTGATTCTGCCCTTTCCTCAGCCCTGGAGTGCTGTGTCCAGTTCTGGGCTCCTCTGGAGCAGAGCTGGAGCTCCTGGCATGGGGCCTGTGCAGGGCTGTGAGGATGAGGAGGGGATGGAGAATCTCCTGTGAGGAAAGGCTGTGGGAGCTGGGACAGGGGGAAGAGCAGCGATGAATATAGATATAGACAACAGATATATATATATGGATATATAAAGTGCCACAGGCCAGGGCCAAGCAACAGCGTCAAAGGTAATGGGAAGGAATTGAACCCAGGAAATTCCACCTGAACAGGGGAAGGACTTTGCCCTGCAAGGACAGCTGCCTGTGATAGAGCTGCCCAGAGGTGGTGAGTAACCTTCCGTGGAGCTCCTCAAAATCCATCTGGACACAATCCTGATGTGCTCAGGGGCCCCTGCTGAGCCAGGTGAGCTCTAGTGCTGCCTCCATTCCTTGGTTGTGTGACCACGAGCTTGGCACACAGGCTCCTGCCCTGGGGCAGAGCATCATCTGCTCCTGGAGGAATCCTGCCAGAGGTGCCCGCGGCTGCTGGAGCAGGGCCCGGCCGTTTCGGGAGCAGGAGCGGGATCAGCTGCTCTGAGTGCTGCCAGAGACCCCGAGGAGCTGAGGCTTCAGCCCAGGTCCTGCAGCTCAGCTGGGCTGGACAGGGGCTGTGAACACCCTGGGCTTGTTCAGCCTGGAGAAAAGGGCACTCAGGGGTGACCTCAGCGCTCTCCACAACTCCCTGAAAGGTGGCTGTGCTCAGGTGAGGTTGGGCTGTTTCTCCAGGAGCTGACAGAACCAGAGCACACAGCCTCAAGCTGCCCCAGGGGAAATATAGGTTGGATATTTGGAAGAAGTTTTTTCCAGAAAGGGTGATAAAGTTCTGGAATGGCTGCCCAGGGAGGTGGTGGAGTCACAACCCCTGGATGTGTTTAACAAAGCCTGGATGTGGCTCTGGGTGCCGGGGTTGAGTTGAGGTGTTGGGGCTGGGCTGGACTCGATGATCTTTGGAGGTTTCATCCAACCCAGTGATTCTGTGAATTGGGCTGGGGGCTGTGAACACCTGAGGGACTGAACTGGGCTCTGCAAAGGTTGTGGGGCACCTGGGATGGAGAACTGCAGGCTCCAGCCAGGAGTGCTGGAAAAGCCCTCGTGGGGCGAGGCCCGGGAGGTCCCACAGGCTCTCTCCAGCTTTTGGCACCTTTTGATTTTGGGCTTCCCCCGGGATTTCCCACCGGGGTTTGACTTTCCCCATCCTGGTTGTGAGCAGTTCCCTTTGAACAGGGGCTGGTTCTGGCCACTTCTCCTTTCTATGACCTTAAAGTTGAGGTCTGGGCAGGTCCCTGCAGCTGCCCCCGTTGGACCAGAGTCCCCTGAGCATCCCTGCCTGTCCCTGCTCCCAAAAACACAGAGAATAAATGAGAATAAAGGAAAACAAACAGAACAGAATAAAATGGGAAAACAATTTTTTAAAAAGAAAATAAAGCAGAATAAGAAGAAAAGAAATAAAAGGGAAGAGAGGGAGATGACTGGAATGGAATAAAATAAAAAATAAATACAATTACAAAAATAAATACAAAGAATTATGTAGTAATAATAGAATTAAAGAAATAATACTAATAAATAAATAAAAAATAAAATAAAATAATAAAATAAAACAGAAGAAAACATAAAAATAAGAAAATTGAAAACAAAAATTAATAGAAAATTAAAATAGAATAAAAATAAAAGAAAAAATAAAAGAGAAAATTAAAAGAAGATTAAATAGAAAATAAAATAAAGATAAAACAGAAAATAAAGATAAAATAGAAAGTATGATAAAATAGAAAATGAAAGAGAATAAAAGAAAATAAATTAAAATAAAAGGAATTCAGATTAGTAGAATAAAACATTGGAATATAACAAAAGAACATAGAGTAAAATAAACCAGACTAAAATGTTAAAAAATCCATAAAATACGAACTATTTCCCCTCCCCCGGCCCGTCCCTCCCGTGGGCGGGGCGGGCGCAGGCGGGGGCGGCCCCTTTAAGAGGAAGTAGCGCCGGCGGGGCGCGGGAGCGGCGGGCGCGCGGGGCGTGCTGCGGCCCGCGGCGAGCGAGTGCTGCGGCCCGGGGAGCTGTGCGCGTCCGCCGGCGAGGGACCGCGGCCCGGCAGGTGCGGGAAGCGGGGCTGTGAGGGGCTGTGAGGGGCTGGGGGCGGTGTGAGGGGATGGAGAGGCTGTGTGGGAGGAGGGCTCGGAGGGGACTCCGGGGAAAAGCGGCCTGGCGGGGCCCAGTCCTGCCCACGTGTCCCCGCAGCCCCGGGGCCGCGTTCCCCGTCAGGGCCGGGCCGGGACCTGTGGAGCCGCGGCCGCCGCGTCTCCGCTCTGGCGGTAATTGTGTTTGCTGAGGGGCCGCGGCCCGGCCCGAGCCCCTCAGGAGCCCCCCGGGATCAGCGCTCGGATCAGGGACGGATCCGCCTGTGCTGAGGGAGAAAAACCCCTCTGGAACATCCCCGAGCAGAGCCCTGGCTGCTGAGCCCCCTCAGAAGGGTCGGACCTGCTGCAGGATTCGTGAGCAACCGAAATATTCATAATGAGGAAAAAAGAATATCGCAGAGAGTAAAGGGGTTGGTGGCACAACTGTGAAGTTACAGCTTTCAACTTCCCTATTTTATCTCACCTTCTCGACTTTCTCCAGCCCGGCTGCTATAGGTAAAGGCGTAGCCCTGAAGTTCCAGCCTTTCAGTCTCTAAACTAATCGGGGAATGGGGAATTTTCCATTTTTTTTTCAGGTCATGGTGAGCCACAGCTCAGCTGTCATGGGGGAGAATGTGTCAGGAGAACTTGAAAGCAAACTCTTGCTCTGCTTCTGTCTCTTGCTGCGGGCTCAGGATTTCTGATCTTACAGATCTGCCTCTGATCTCTGCACAGTGAGCTCAGCTCCTTCAGAGAAACCTCTGTGAGAAGGACAGGCAAAGGAAAAGACAGAAAGTCCTCTGGAGGGAATGGACAGAGGATCCGGAGTTGTCAGTGCCCAGCATAGATGTTTGGGTAGAAGCTTTTCTGTCAGTGCTAGTGAAACGTAGGATTTGCTCCTATTAGAGCTGCAGAGTGGCCACAGCCACTCTGGATTTTCATCCCTTTGTTAACAGCCCCTTTCTGGTCTGGAAATCTTCTGCCAAGCTGCAGGACAGGGAGGGATTTTGCTGGGAGATGTGAAACTTCCCCAGCCACCTGTTTATCACAGTCCCCAGGGCTTTGTCCTTGCCTTCTGCTTCCTTTCCCAACTTCAGGCTCGCTTCCAGCTCCCTGTTTGTCCATTGCTGTTCCCTGGACTGTGTATCCCATGTTTCAGATTCACTTTCTGTCTTAGTCACTTCCTGTGAGGTGAATCTGGGGTGAGCTTGTGACTCTTCAAAATCCCCAGAAAGAGGGAGAGCAGCATTGGGAATTCTTGCCAATGGTGGCAAAACCTGGAGCTGTTGGTTTATAGGGAGGTGCTGAGCAGGGAGCTGGTTCCTGTGCCTGCCTCACCTTGCAGCTCCTGGGATGCTCTGATGCCCTCATCAGATGTGGAAATGGGCTCTCCTGTGTGCTTGGAGGAGACTCAGCATCCTGAGCAAAGCTGTCCTGCTTCACTTCAGCTGCTTCTGGAGCTGTTTGACAGCTGCTTCCTCATCCACATCTAACATGGCCCTTCTGCTGATGGGGTGAAAAGCACCCCCCACACTGGAATGAGGTGATTTAGTCCCATTTTGGAGGTTGGGCTGTCCAGATCTGTGCTGTGCTTGGTCACTCTTGCTCCTCTGTGAAGGCCAGGATCTCCATGGCCACTCTAATAAAAATGTCCCATGTGAGTAGTGAAAGTATCTGGGGTCAGAGCACAGAGATTGCAAAACCTTTCCAATCTTGCCCACAGGTCTGGGAAGGGAATTGCTTTCAATTTCTGAGTCTTAATTTCTAGTAAGACAGGGAAGTGTTTTCTGGTTCTTGACCCATAAATGCTGCTGTAAGTGGATGCAGAGCCAGCTTTACTGGAGGTTTATCAGCTTATCGTTAGGAATATGTAATACCCAGCTAATGCTGTCAATAAAGAGTGCAGCCTAGGCTGCACCTTTATCCTCCTTTTTCCAGATGCCCCTGGGAGGCAGAGTTATCCTGAGGCCTGGTTGGGTCTGCTGCCTGCTTCCCTCTGGAGCGGGGGGTGTGGTAGAGGTGCTGCTCTGCTCCTGGTGTAATTGGGTGGGTTTTTGCTGTGGATACACGAATCAGAAAGAAGGGCAGAGGAAGGAATGGAGGCAGGAAAGGCTAGAAAAAAACTCCAGCAAAACAGCAACTTTTGCAAGTGGGCAAAGCCAGAGCAAAACAATCCATCACACTCTGACAGCTTTGACTTCCTCCAGAAAACCTGGCTGAGGTCCCAAAGGGCTGGTGCTGGTGTTGGGTCAGTGTGAGTGAGACGAGGCCACCGTGGTGATGCTGCTAGACACTCCCATGTGTGACCCTGTGCTGATTCCAGGGAACTCGGGGGACAGAAGGTGAGCTGGAGCCACCCAGGCTGAGGTTGCACTGAAAGGCCCTGTATTTTCTGCAGGCCTCTCCTGAGGCTGTTGTCTGGCTGCCTTTGCTTCCTTCTCTCTTTCCTCTGGCTGTGTGATGTGGTTGGTGTTGAGGTGGTCTCTAGCTCCACATCCGTGGGCTCGTTCTGTGCCTGGAGCTGTGCTAAGGGATTGAGTTATTCACATATCTCCTGCCAGGGCAGGAGAGGCCTCGTGGGCCTCTGCTGTCATCAAGAAACAATTCTGCCATTCATCCCAACGTGTGACATTAACATGGGGAAAAGGGATGTTTGTCCCTGGGATTATCCATGCTCTGGGAAAGGCTGGTTGTGTGGCCAGCTCGTGCTCCAGCTCAGCCCTGGGGTGTGATCCCACACTTCCTGGGATCCCAGCCCACTGTTAGAATGGTGCCATAGTCATTTTATCATCCTAATGCAAATTTCATGCTCCAAACTGATGTTAGCTTTGACTCGGGTGAGGGCAAATCCCAAAGTTAGAGGAAATGGAACTGCTGTGGGCCCAGAAATATCCCTGCCCAGTGAGTACAGTACAGCGCCTGCACAAGCTGGGAGAGATGAGCAACACAGCTGGGACTTAATAAACATCACTCTGCCCTTCCAGCCCTGTAGTGGGGACACAAGAGACCCTCTCAAAGGACCAGGCTGCTCTGGGGCCTGGAAAAGTGGGAGCTGCTCCTACTGTGCCATCACTGGCCGTGCTGTTCCCTGTGTGCAGTTAACCTGTGTGTGGAGTCGTGACCCAGCTTGTCAGCTTAGCACAGCCCTGCAGCGGATTAGCTCTGCCTCCACACGCAGCCCCATCCCGGCTGGATCCGTGGAGACCTTCCAGCAGCGGGCTCTGACATTGCAATGGATGCAGATGTCACGTAAGAGGCAGCAGGGCTGGCCCTGAGTCAGTAACACCCGTGGGGCTCCCTGCAGTCACTGCTGTTCCACAGGAACAGTGGGAGATTGCAGCATCTGCTGCCTGACCTTTCCCTCTGGGGAGGGAAGCAGGAGGGGACCTTTTACAGAACTTACTTTCTCATGTGGCTTTTCTCCCTCTGTGGCTGTGGGGAGGAAGGCCAGGGGGATAAACCACACTGGAAATTTGGGGTTCTTGCCTTCCCTCTCCCTTGCCAGACTGGGTTTTCCAGCCTCCCCAGCACTCACTGTGCTCCCTCAGCATCCCTGTGCAGTGTGAGCAGTGTCACCCATAACGTCCCTGTTCTGAATATCCATCCTGAGCTTAAGCCAAGCAATAAACTCCGTGTTCATGCATCTGCCCGGGATGGGTGCTGGTGTCTCACTGCTGGCTGCTCCAAGCAGCAGCATTCCCTCCTGCAGCTCTTGATGGGCTCTGCCAGAGCTCCCCTCACCTCTGGTGGGTCCTCTGCTATCCCAGATACTGCTTAAGTTAACAGAGCTTTTCCCTTTATTCCATAAACTAACCCAACTTTAGGATTGTCTGGAATGCTTGGCTTTGCAGGGGTGAAGGACATGCTTTGAGCCCAGGATAACTATTTTTGGTCTTTTATTACGCTTTTTTCTTTTCTCATGCATATAGCCTTGTCCTACTCCTAAAGCAACCTCTTCCCCTAAGCCACCCTCTTTCCAGGAAGGGCCTGGAGACGTGGGAAGTCCCAGGAGAACTCTACCAGTTTCTTACTCTCTGGAATTTCCAAATTGTGCAGCAGATTGGAATTGCAGAGCCTGGGGGTGGCTGGCAACAGGCAGGACCTTCTTAAAGCTGACTCTGGTGAAAGACAAAAGGCTCTTTGTTTGCCCAAACCTTGGGAATTCAGCATTTCCAGCGTGCCCCTGTTCAGATTTGGTTTCGAAGGCTGCTGCTAAAGCACTTTCTAAAACAAAAATGTGGATGTTGTCCTGCAGAGCAGCAGAATGAAGTGGGGTTGGGGTTGGAGGTGCAGCTGGGCCGGGTCAAGCTGCTCCTTCTCCAGAAACTTCTGAGCAGGGGCTGAGGGCAGGGGATGGATGGGGAAGGCAATGCTGAAGGAACGGCCGTGGCTCTGCTCTCCTGCTGCAACACGGAGTGATCCTGCGGGAGGAAAAACAGAGCTTGCAGAGGGGAAGGATTAGCTTTTGGGAAAACATTGGCAGCTCCCTGGGCCGGGAGACTGGAGGCAGTGCCAGACAGGAAGCGGCTGACGTGGAAGTGCCGGCTGGCCGGGATTATGAATGGCCAGGGTGCCTTCCAGCCACCCTCCTTGCCCTGCCCTGCCCTGCCCGAGGTAAGCACGGGGCAGACCTTCGCTCCTCTATCACAAATCCATTGGAAAGAGCAGCTGGAAGTCTTGTCCCGGGAAGGCAAGCCCTCATTTGTTGCCAGACTGGCTCTGGAGGCGCAGAAACTGGCTGCCATTAGTGTAGTGCGGCTGCCAGGATTGTTCTGCTCCTTGCTCTCTGTAGTAAAATCTCTTCTTTGATCAGAGAAAACCAGGATCATCCTGTCTCGAGACACTGAGCTAGTGCAGAGTGGCCATGGGAAGGGATTTGTGAAAGGAGGGGGGTGGAATCGTGGAAAAAATGTGCGTGTTTGTCCATCTTGGCTGTTTTGTGCAAGTTGCCTGTTTGAAGTTGCTTTTCTTCTCTTCCTCTCTCTGTAAATTCAGTTTTTTACTTGAAATGCTCAGTTCATCCAGAATAGCTTTATCAGTCAGGGGGGTTTGTGTCCTGTGTTGGGAACTCTGGCCTGGCATTAAGGGCCCTGGGAATGGCTCAGGGGGGAGCAGGATCGAGGCTCCCCTCTTCTGGGGAGCCCTGGGGACACGGTGGCTGTCACAGGCTCCCCACCCAAGGGTTACAAGCAGCTGGACTCGGTGGGATTCAAGGACAGCAGCTTCCCAGATAGGATTTTCCTGGTCAAATCCCTGATTTGAAGAGCTGCATTGCTCCCTGGGCTGTGCTGAAGGGCTGTTCTACCAGAGGCAGCAGGATGTGGCTCTGGGGTCACGGAGGAGGGAGGTGTCCTGGTGTCTGACCCATCCCCAGCTGCAGAGCCGCAGGGTTGGGGCTGCCCATGAAACAGAACAGAAACGAACGGGGAGGTTTTTTCCCCTCTTTTGGAAAAGGAAGCTTGGCCTCAGTGCCTGCCAGTGCTGACAGAGGGTGCAGAGCAGGGCTGAGCCCTCTGCAGGAGTGACCTGCTGAGGCCAGGAACACAGGTAGGAGCTTGCTGACTGCTGCCTTGCTGGTTTTCCCTGGCTGCTGTTAAACCCCTGTGCAATGTTGGCAGCAGAGGGGAGCATGGAGTGCTGCTGGGGCTGGCACTGATGGTGCAGTCATGGGACTCCTGGAGTCCTTTTTTGGGCCATTCTGCCTCTGTAGGGAGGGCAGGATCTGTCGGGAACTCTGCTGGCTCCTGGAGAACCTCGGGATGGCTCAGCAGGGTGCAAGGGGAGGCAGTTTCCTGGTGTTTTGGAGGAGGTGACTCTTCCCTTTTCCAGACTCTGAGCTGCTTTTACAAGTGACCAAGAGTTGGAAAGCAGCCTTCTTCTGCCCAGAGCCTGGTGTTAGAGCAAGGCAGCTCCTCATGATCCACCATTCCTGGCGAGGGAAGAGGAATGGCAGGCCATGGTTTCCTGCCTGGTTTTGGCAGCAAAACCAGCACAGGACTGGAGCTGCAGAAGCAGAGAGTCAGAGAAAAGGAGCTTTTGGGATGGGAGGGGAAGGGAGGGCTAGGCCTTGAGACCCCTGAGCAGGCAAGTCCAGCATAGCAGGGAGCTGCTCCTCCCGTGTCCCTGGGCTAAGCTGGAGGTGTGTGTGCCCTGGACAGCCCACGGGGGTCATGGGCCCTGTGATCCTGAGCGCCGGCCAAGGTCCTCTCGGAGCACCGCTGACGTCTGCTGTGATCCTGGCTGGCTGAAAGGAGGCAGCAATAAAACCTACTGAGGTTTGTTTAGTGGGGGGAGTGGTTTTTCCCCTCACCTTTAAAGCTTCAGATACCATCCAGGTGCTTTGCATGTCCCATTTCCCAATTGTCTCTAACCTTTCCTTTCCCTTGGGTGCGGGGGCGGTGTCAGCTGTGACTCCTGCCTGTGGAAGTAGGTGTTGTACAGATGATATCATCTCCGAGCAATGTCAGGGATGCTTTGGTCTCTGTGCCTCTTTATTTTTATTTTTTTCCTAGAGCTAAATGTTTCTTTTAGCTCATTGCAGTCAGAGACCGTAATTAAATAGGCTGCATCTGCTTGATGTCTCAGCTACTCATTTTGCTAATGCTTCACACAGATGCTGAATCGTCTGAGAGACAATTGCTCTGTGTTGAGCTCCCCCGTTCTCAGAGATGTATTCATAGGATCAGGAATTTGTTTGTAGGACAAGTACTGCCTCCTACACCAAGTGAACTGCTCTGCACAGAGACCCTGACAAATGTGAGGGCAGGGAAATCCCCAGCCTTGTGACAAGTGACAAGAGTCAGATCCTGCCCTGGGATGGGGCAGCCCTGGATGCAGGGACAGACTGGGAATGAGAGGCTGGAGAGCAGCACCGTGGGAAGGGACCTGGGGGTCCTGGTCAGTGGCAAGTTGGATCTGAGTCACCGCTGGGTCCTGGCAGCCCAAAGGGCCGCCCTGTCCTGGGGGCAGCAGGCCAGGGAGGGATTGTCCCACTCTGCTCTGCCCTGGGGCAGCCTCAGCTCCAGTGCTGGGGCACTTTGGGCACCACAAGGTCAGAAGGATCCAAAGCTGCTGGAGAGTGTCCCAAGGAGGGACACGGAGCTGGGGAAGGTCTGAGGAGCGGCTGAGGGCACTTGGCTGGTTCAGCTGGAGCACAGGAGATGAGGGGAGGCAGAGGGGCAGGGGCTGAGCTCTGCTCTGGGACAGCTCCTGGAGCCCAGCAAGGGCTGGAGCTGTGCCAGGCCTTGGCATGGAGCTCAGGGAAAGGTTCTTCCCCCCGAGGGTGCTGGCACTGCCCAGGCTCCCCAGGGAATGGTCCCGGCCCCGAGGCTGCCAGAGCTGCAGGAGCGTTTGGACAGCGCTCTCAGGGCTGCTCAGGGTGGGGCTGTTGGGGGGTCTGGGCAGGGACAGGGGCTGGGCTGATGATCCCTGAGGGTCCCTTCCAGCTCAGAATATTCTGGGATTCTATGAAAAGTCTCTCCATCCTGCTCAGATAAGAAAGATGGTTGGTGTTTGTTTCTTGATGTGTGGTACCAAAGCCAGGGGATGTTTGTATGGGTATTCTCAGTTCAGTCAGAGAGAAAGGAGAGTTTCTAACCAGGCTCTTGCCTGGTTAGATACTCTCTCTCTGACTGAACTGAGAATACCTATATTTTTGCTTTTACCCTTGGGTTTCACTCCATCCACATCCATGCCAGGCCCTGCAGGGCAGATCCTCCAGAAAAGGATGGAGTCACACTGCTGAGGGTGCTCCAGGGAGCCCCATGGAGGGTGGTGCTCCTGCTGCTTTGTGGTTTCTTGTGTGCGAGGATGTGTTTTCATCCATCTCCAGTGCAGGAAACTCATCACAAGTACTTCCCTGGACTTGCTGCTGGGAGTAGCAGCAGCCTCAGCACCTGCTGCCCACATTGCTGGTTCCGTGGGGCCCGTGTCTCGTTCCAGGGTGGGCGCAGTCCCTGGAGCTTCCGGCTCTGTCACAGGATGTGGCCAGGCTGTGACACAGCTCCTGCTAACCAGCACTGCTCAGCTGTCTCTCCACACCCTTCACTTCTTCCTCTGCCACGTCTGGGGCGGGATCACGCTCCAAAGGACCCATCTGCCAAGGGTTTGTGCTGGGTTTGCCTCTCCTGAGGTGGCTCCCGGGGTCACAGCAGCTGTTTTGGCAGCAGGAAGGCCAGATTGGATGGGGCTTGGAGCAACCTCATCTAGTGGAAGGTGTCCCTGCACACCAAAGGTGTCCCTGCCTGTGTCAGGGAGTTGCAGCTGGATGGTCTTTAAGGTTCCTTCCAACCTAAACCATTCAGTGATGACATATCTGCTCTAGAATCACCTCTCAGCCCATGGTGGATCCCACTGAACCACATTAAAATGCTTTTAGGGTTTCTCCCAACACATCATAGCCCATTATTGGGGTTTGGATCTCTCAGCTCCTGCATGGAAGAGGTTACTGAGCCCATTCCCGCAGGAAATGTTGAGCCTGTTCTTAGTGAGGTAAACTGGAGCGGTTTGGGGTTTCTTCCTCACTGTAATTAAATAAGGAAACAAGAGGCCTTGGCTTTAAAGCTTTTTAATCTTTCTTCAGAGAAGAACTGCTGATTAGCACTGCAGCATCTGTTAGAGACGGGCTCGATTGCAGCCGTGGTAGTCATGACCTTGAGTTTGGGATGTGCTTGCCAGCATTTGAGGACACTATTTACCTATTGGAACAACACTGAGGCCTCATGTAAACCTAAGTAGATTCTGCTTGGATAAAGAATTTTTTTTTGCTTTCTTGTTTATCGAATTATGGAAACTTATTTATGCTATTTAAAGCATCAGCTTAATTTCTATTACTTTATTCATTTCTGTGACCAACAGGTGTAGAATAATATTTTTGGTACACAAAGCTTTCTGCCTTAAGCTTTCATCAAAGAGCAGCCTGGCACAAATTCTGTGAGGGGCTGGATGTGGGAACAAAGGAAGTATAATTAGCTACAGATAAACAGAGCTGTGTTTCTCGTCAGCATCCCTTCAGATCTCAACTTGTGTCTCACACTTGGAGCTGATTCTTTTCTACAGTCTGGAAGAGGAAGATGAGCTTCCCCTCATCTTCCAGTTTTCAACTTGTAAACGTAGCTAAACTGAAATGGGAAATATGTTTATGGTCTGTGTGCACCTGCAGAAGAGACTGTGGCTGCTCTCAGGGCCGGTGTTATTTCAGTGTATTTGTTTTCAGGTGCCTGAGCTGTGACTTCTTCTCATTGCCCTCCACCTCTTGGTTCCTGTCTCTCACTTTCAGTGGCTGGCAGCAGCTCTGAGCTGTCTTGTGGGCTGGCATGACCTGGCCTGGCCTTGTTCCCAGAGGGGGGATGCAGAGGTGAAAATGGGATCTGGGTGAAACCCAGCTGGTTTTACCCTTCCTCAGTGTGTGTGAGCCAAGCAGGTGGCGGCATTTCTGCAGGTTTGGGGTCTCATGGTGTGGCACCATTGGGGTGAGTGGCAGCCTTCCCCATAGCTGTGGGGCCTGTTCCCTCATTCCCACATGGATCAGGTCAGGAGGTGACTCTGTTCAGCCCAGGTCACCCCTCCAGCCTCCCCTCCCATCTGCTCCGGCCGGGGAAGGGAAGGGGGAGGAAGGAAAGCTGTGGGGCGAGGGCCCAGATGGCATCCCAGATCTCTTCCTATGGGATTGAGACGAGGTTTCCTGTTGAGAAAGCTGCTCCTAATCGCTGCCCTTCTGTGCTGTGTTGCAGATCAGGACCAGATGAGCAGAGGGAGGTTCCTGTGAAGATCAGAGTCACCCCAGCACTGCCCCGGGAAGCGGCTGTGCCTCCAGCTGTCACCGCTGCGGGCCTGGGAGCCACGCAGGAGAAGGAAAATGTCCCACGCTTTGAAGCAAGTGTTCAATAAAGACAAAACCTTCCGGCCCAAGCGCAAGTTCGAGCCGGGCACTCAGCGGTTTGAGCTGCACAAGAAGGCCCAGGCCTCGCTCAACGCCGGCCTGGACTTGAAGGTGGCCGTGCAGCTGCCGCCGGGCGAGGAGCAGAACGACTGGGTGGCCGTGCACGTCGTGGACTTCTTCAACCGCATCAACCTCATCTACGGCACCATCAGTGACTATTGCACGGAGCAGTCCTGCCCCGTCATGTCGGGGGGCCCCAAGTACGAGTACCGGTGGCAGGACGAGCACAAGTACCGCAAACCCACGGCCCTGTCCGCGCCCCAGTACATGAACCTGCTCATGGACTGGATCGAGGTGCAGATCAACAACGAGGACATCTTCCCCACCAACGTCGGTGAGTTGGGGTCCCAGCTGGGGCTGCAGGGAGGGAGGGCGTGTGGAGCCTTCTCGTGAAGTTGCTGTTCCAGGAGATGCTGCAGCACAGCTGACTCCTGTAGCACAGCAGTGAGCTCTTCCCAGCCCTTCTGCAGTGCTGGAATACCCAGAGCTGTACCAGCTGCCACTGGGAGTCACGGATACCTCGAGGCAGTGAAACAGTAGGCTGCTCTTAGAGCAGTTGGTCTCTGAGGTGGCTCATGCTGGATGCAGGATGGCTCTCTGAGAACTGATGGCCAGCCCAGGTCTGAGGCACAGCTCTGTGTCACCTGGTGATAGTGTCATGTGCCATAATCACCCCCTCTGTGATTAGAGGCCACACTGGCTGCCTCTGCCCCTCCTGAGGGGTGGGATGCTGGCACAGGCCATGTTTCATCTACTGCCAGGACCATGGAAACAGGAGTCTGGCCTAAGACACCTCAATCTCCATATCCAAACACAGCTTTGAGACAGAGGTTGTTGGGGGTTTTTTTTGTGATGAAGATGGAAGGTTTTAGTCTCTTAAGTTATCAGGTAAATAAACTGAGCCTATGCAGAGCTTCCATCTCCTGGGATGGAGGAGATGAGGTGCAGCAAAACTCCCTCCCTCCCTCCTGCTCCGCTGTTCATCCCTTTGGAGCTCTGATGGGATGCAGTTGGTCCCTATTTGGGGCACATCTGCCACTTGAGCATCCACAGGGATCCTCCACTGTGCCAAAACGCTGCTTAAGCCTGGTGTGGAGTGGGCAGAGAGGGAAGAAGGGCCATAAACAGCCAGTTTTGAGACAGCTGCAGCACCAAACCCTCCCCAGCCGTCCTTCTCACGCTGCACAGGCTCTGCTGCAGCTCTCTGGGGACCTCACTGGGAGTGTTGGCTCTGTTCTGGGCTGCAGGACGAGCTTCCGACAGCACGAGGGTTGTGGTTTGGGGTTTTTTTATTTGTTACTGTCTTCAGCTCAGCTTTCACCAGGTCCTTCAATGCTGACTGAAATGCTGCAGCTCTGGCTGAGCAAGGAAAGGGTTTAACTCATCCTTGTTCCTCCAGAAACAGTGTGAACTTTACACCCTGATATCCCATGGAGGTGATTGCATGAACAGACTGCTCTGCTTCAGGAGCACAGCCAGACAGTCCTGGAGCCTTCAAAGAGGACCTTAACAGCTTTAATTTTTAACCAGAGAGCTAAAGATGTACCAAAACAAGTGATAACTGTAGGGAGTTAACAGCACCAGCCCTTTCCTTTGAGAAGTTGCTTGGTTGTATCTGGTGTTTTGCACTGTTTATATAAATAAATCAAGCAGGAGTAGAAGAAAACTCTTGTCTGAATGAAACAACTGCTGGGAAAACCTGTGCTTTGAAAAATATGATCCAAAGGAAAGGAAAATGGAGAGGGGAGCTGGAAATTACCAGGGTCAGAACTTTTGCCTCAATCTGTCCATTTTGCCGATTTATTTTAGCTCTAAGCAACTAGTTTTAACTTGACCAAAGGTTTTTCATGGCCACTCTTCCCCTCCCAAGGTACTCCCTTCCCCAAGAACTTCCTCCCAGTGGTGAAGAAGATTCTCTCCAGGCTCTTCCGGGTGTTTGTCCACGTCTACATCCACCACTTCGACAGGATCACCCAGATGGGCTCGGAGGCCCACGTGAACACCTGCTACAAGCACTTTTACTACTTTGTGAAAGAGTTCAATCTCATAGACACCAAGGAGCTGGAGCCCCTGGTGAGTGCCTGGTGGGGCTCTCAGGGTCTGTGGGGAGTCACAGAGGGCTCTGGAACCTTTTCTGGAGGCCCTACTTCCAATTCTGGGGTCAGTTTTGGCCCCTCACTCCAGCAAAGACATTGAGGGGTTGGATGGAGCATGTCCAGAGATGGGAACAGAGCTGGGGAAGGGTCTGGAACACCAGGAGCAGCTGAGGGAGCTGGGGAGGCTCATCCTGGAGGAAAGGATGCTCTGGGGGGACCTTGTAGCTCTGCACAGCTCCTGACAGGAGGGGCTCAGTCTTGTCCCAGGACAGAAGGCAGCAGTCTCAAGCTGTGCTAGTGGAGGTTTAGATTGGATTTAAGGGAAGATTTCTTCACTTTAGGGGTGGGGCAAGCATGGAAAGGTCTGCCCAGGGCAGTGTTGGAGTCACCATTCTTAGAGTGCTCAAAAAACACGTGGCTGTGACACTTGGGGACATGGTTTAGTGGTGACACAGCAGTGGTGGGGTAATAGTTGATGATCTTGGGGGTCTTTCCAACCCTTAAGTATTTCATGATTCTCTTCTAAAGCTGGTTGCCCAAATTCAGGACCAGTTGGCCTTGCAGTGTAACTGTCAGGAACCTGGGAGTCAGGATGTGACTGGGATGTGCTGGGAATGGTGGGGGGAACACAGCCATGCCCAGACTGGAGCTGTGGGCAGCAGGGTCACTCCGTGCCTAGAAATGGTATTGACAGCTAAACACAGGGATTTCTTATCTACACCCTCACCTGGGGGCCTGGATCCTCCTTCACAGTCCCTTGTCTTCTCTGTCCCTTTGACAGAAGGAAATGACCTCCCGGATGTGCCACTGAGCTCAGACCTTCCTGCTCCCACCTCGGCACCTCTTCCGAGGACTCCGAGCCCCAATCCCACATTGGAGACGTGATTCAAGGGGAGAACAGAGATGTTTCGTTTAAGAAATTATATATTTTTAATGAGTTTCAATGTAAAACTGTGATACTGCAGGGATATTTTTTTAAAGATGCTCTAGATTAACTAATTTTTTATAGTAATTTCTATAAAAAAAAAGAAAGAAAATATTTTGTGGGCCCTTGATGGGAATGTTGGCTCTCGGAGTGGGGAAGAGCTGCCTGAGCTGCCTCCTCCATGTGCCCTGAGTGAGCTGAGCCAGACTCTTCACACAGAGCTGTGTCGTGGGGCTGGTGCTGCCAGGGAAGCGGTACCTCCCTTGGGATACACATTTCCTGAAGGCAGGGTACAGGACTGGTGTACATGGACCCCAGGTATGGATCTCCCAGCACCTCTTCCACTGGCTGTGAGTCGGGTTTGGGGCAGAGCTTCTCTGTGCCCACCTGTCCCCAAGGCCTGGTTCTCGTGCTCTCCCTCTGAGCTGGGACTGGGCTTCATCCAGTTGGGGCCGGTGTTGTTGGAGTGGAAATCTGCCCTCATGTGTCAGCCCAGCCCTGAAGTGGCAGATCCACACTGGCAGCTCCTCCTCGGAGCCACCAGAGGGAAGGTGCTGGGACAGGCACCAGGAATTCTCCTCTGTCCCTCGTGGTACGCTGACCCTGCCAGGACCATCCCGGTTCCTGCTGGGGTATGGAGCCTTCTCCCCGTTCCCCAGCATCACCACCATGCCCAGCTGTGCACACCTGGGACCAAAATCTCTGCTGTGCAGCCAGAGCCCCCCAGCCTCGCCCGCTGCTTGCACGAGGAGAGCTTGGCAGTGCCCCCTGGTAGGTAGTGGGTCTACCTAGGATTTGGGGACCAGTAAGTGACCAAACTGCACCACTAACCATTTCTTCCTTACAAAGCGTTCCCGTGCCCTGGAATCTCTGTACATACGTGACTCTCTCATTTCTCATCCTGCCGTTAGGACACTCGTACAAATACCACTCGTGCTCTGAAATGGAACCAATAAATTATGTTGTATTTACACAGCACACGCCGCCGCCGAGCGTCTCGTGACTGCACATTCGTCAGAACCTTCCCATCAGCAAAACAAACACGGGGTGTTTGGGCTCCCTGGGGATTGTGCTGGGGAGCTGGGAGCTCGTGGGTGTGTGCTCCTGGCACAGCTCCTGGGGCTTGCTTGGGTTCCTCCCGCTCTCCGTGTGCCAGGTCCAGGCTGCTCCGAGCCCTGCGCTGGGTCCCAAGGCCATGGGGCCTGACCAGCAGCCTGAGGTTGTCCTGACTTGTGTCTGTACCCCAGGGCTGAGCTGTTCTCTGAGCTCTGAAACTCAGGTGGAAGTGGGGAGGAGAGGGGAATTCCAGCTCACCAACTTGCGAAGAGGCTCCTCTACCATGGGAAGGAGCCAGGGGTGCAGTCAGTGAGACTGGTGGACTAAATTGGGAAAAACTCTGTATTTGGGGGATGCACATTGTTTTCCTGGCCGGGAGGGGAGTGAGAGGCTCCCCAGCTGTAGCTCCTCCTGTTCCCTGCCTGCAGCCCTGGCTCTTGCCCATTCCCCTGCCTAGTGGAAGTGCTGGGACCACCCTCCGGCCCCTCTCCCGGTGTTGTGTGGGTGCAGCTCAGCTGGAGAACACGCTGTTCCTTGGTGTGGAATATCTCTTTGCCCAGCCTGGGTCAGCTGCCCCAGCCCTGCTTCCCCCAGTTGTTGTGCCCCTCCTTGCTGGCAGAGCACGAGACACACAGAGTCCTTGGCTTAGGGTAAGCACTGCTCAGCACCACCAAAACACCGGTGTGTTATCAGCATTATTCTCATCCCAGATCCCAAACACGGCCCTGTACCGGCTACTGGGGAGAGAACTGGCTCTGTCCCAGTGAAACCAGGACATGTGCTGAGCTGTGGTGGGGCTGCAGGTGGGTGGTGAGTGGTGCTGGCTCAGCCCTCAGACCCAGGGCAGCTCCTGCTGCTGTTCCTCAGCTTCCCTTTTCACACCCACCAGAGTGCTGTGGGTGCTGAGTCTGGGCACGGTGTGCCAACCCAACCAGTTGTGACCCCCGGGGCTGCAGGGACCTGCCTTCCTCAGCCCCCTCTTTTTGGGGGAAAGACCCTCCCATGAGAGACCAGCTCAGCCGAAGGAGGAGGAGGAAAAGCACCTTTGTAGGAGATGTGGCAGGGCTGGAGGTGGCTGAGCCCAGCCCCACTCCCAGCAGTGCAGGATGTTGCCCAGACAGGTCTGTGGAGCCACAGCTCAGCCTTCTCTGCCTCTGCCCCGGCAGCCCCAGCCCCGCTTTCATCTCCCCAGGCTTTCATCTCGTGTTTACTTGCTCCTGAGCTGCAGCTGCGAGTGCTGCAGGCAGCTGTGAGCCCCTGGGGCTGAGCCCTTCATGCTGAGCACCCCAAACTGCAGCCCCAGGGCTGAGCCCCCCAAGCTGAGCCCCCCAAGCTGAGCCCAGCCTGGTGAGGGGTTTAGCCTGGCCCAGGACCTCTCAGTACTTTCACTGCTCGTCCCCCCCAGCACTGGTTGGGTGCACAAGCATCACAAAGGCTGTGCTGAGAATCCAGAGAAGAGCTTTGCAGATCTGGTCTGCAGGGCCTGGGCTGAGCAGGTACTGTGCCCAGGGCTCCAGCAGCCTCCCTCCTGCGGGGCTGATCCCTTCCCAAAAAGCACAGATGGCATCTGCCCCGGAGCTGGAGCGGGCACGGGCTGGCGGCACAGAGGGGGCTGTGGCTGCCGTATGTTCCCAGAGAAATGCTCCTTTCCTGTGCTTCAGAGCAGGTTTCCTGCTGTTCCCAGGAAGCTGTGGCTCGTCCTGATCCTCCCCTGCTGGGCTTCTCCATCCCCTGAACCCTGAGGAGCTCAGGAGCTTTAGAGCCTCAGTTCTGCCATGAATCTGGATTTAGGATTCTGCCAACAACATCAGTTTGTCAGAGATGAGTGATTTAGGGTCACTCAAAGAGTCACTGTCAATGCTGTTAGCGGAATTTATTTTAATATGAATCTATGAAAGTGGGATTTAACAGAGTTACAATGATGAGGTTCACTCTGGTACTTCCTACGTGGATGTAAAAGACTAAGGAAAATCAAGCTGGAATTGAGCTGGAATGATTTACACTGAGACTGAAGATTTAAAAGGGTAAGAGAGACCCTTCTGTTGAGTATGAGGTTCAGACTGCTTCCTAAACTCCTCATGGACTTTAGGTATAGCCCAGGTTCAGTCTTCTCAGATTGTTCAGTGGTTCACATATGAAGGAATTAAATACATGGATTTCATTGATGTTAATTCAGGGTGTTGTCAGGAACTCACCGAGGAGCTGTTCCAAGTAAGGGTCTCTCAGTCTCATCCCAAACCCTGAGACATGTCCCACTCCAGAGCAGATCACAGATGTGCAGTCCAGCTGCAGATTAGGGGGAACTCCAACTGGACTCATCCAAAGATCTGTTGTTGGTGTTCCTTGAGGCACAGGTCAGGAGATGTCCCTGCTCCAGGACACCACGGCCCAGCCTCAGTGCCAGGCAGGGAGAGCTCAAGGCACCCGCTGCTGCCTTGCTGGCAGGGTGATGGCATGAAGCAGGTTTGGCTCACAGGGAAAAGTGCAGGAGGCTCCTTGTACCCACAACTTTCATTGTTCCTTGATAAGTAATTCTTGGAAAAGCCGCCTGCTCTCCATGTGTTAATCCCACAATCGGTTCTGAGCTCACAAGCATCAATGCTCCCTGGGGCACTCTGCTCCTTCATGGGTTTCCTGGACTTTTTGGCCTGGCTCTGGCCTTTTCCTCCTCTGGATCCCAGACCAGACCATTGCTGGGTTGGTGGAAGGGTTGAGCACATCTGTCACAAGTCCCATCAGGGCACAGACCCTTGGAAATCAGCCAAGGTGGAGCAGGGGCTGGGGGTCTCCTACGGCACCTGTGGCTGCGTGTCTGTGGGGTCTGTGCCAGAGCCACGTCCTGCTGGGTGAGGACAGGGATGTCCCCACCTGCCACCACCTCCCTGGGCAGCAGCTCCTGCTCAGAGCGGTGCTGGGGCTGTGCTGTGACAGAAGGATGTCCTTACACTGCCCTGCCCTGCCCCTCCAGCCCTGGGCACTGTCCCAGAGACAGCAGGGGACCCTCCATAGGGGCCCTGGGCCCATGGACTGTGTTCCCATCCCCAGGAGGTGCTGCCTCATTCCATGCACCTTTTGAGTTGGGGAGCAGGAAGGTGGCACAGGACATGTCCCTGCACAGCTCTGCTGTCACTCTCAGCCCCCCAGACCCTGGGAGTGCCTCTGTCCCTCACCATCCCTCATCCCTGCACAGGCAGCAGACGCTTTCCAAGCTCTGAAATGTGCTTTTTGTTTGTTCTGTGTTCCCTGGACAGCTGATGCCTCTGGAGCCAGATTCCCCAGGGTCCCTGGCAGCCCCCCAGCCCTGATCCGTGCCCGCCTCCTCCCGGGCAGGGCTCTGGGTTTGCTCTGCTCCAGTTTTGGGCTCCATGGAGGAGGTGACAGCCATTCCTGGGACAAGGGAACAGCCACCAGCATGGCACGTGCTCCCTCTCCCTTGTATGGCACAGGCCAGGCCCGGAGCCAGCAGCTCCAGGAACATGGGCAGGACCTGGAATGTTTCTGGGAAAACGCTGGAGCAGGGAGGACATGTCCCTTCCCCGCGGGTGACACCGATACCGAGGCCACCTGCTGCTCTGGCCCCACGGGGACAGCAGGTCCCTCCTCACCAGGAGAAGGGGCCCCAGGATCATTTTTGCTCCTGGTGAACAAATCCCTGCTAACCCCAGAGGCTGCCAGGACTGACACACGGGGTGTACAGGCCCTGCTGTGGTTTCAGTGCCCTTTCCAAGGGAGCAAGGGGAATTTTTTGATGGTTTGGGAGTTTTTTTGCTCCTTCTAAGAAAGTGCAACGTGCCAGCCTGCACCTCTTCCTGCCACGTCCCTGGGTTTCCCCAGAGTGACCCAGCTGCAGGGGGTCAGGGCTGCTGCTGCAGATTTCCCCCTTCCTAGGGAACTGGGAGGATGGAGGAGGGTAAAAACCCTGAGGTGTTTAAAGTCCTCCTGGAAATGCTTCTCTCATTTGCTGCTGCCTGCTAAGACAGGACTCCCACTGTGGCACAGCATGAGCCCTGTCCCTGCCCTTCTCCCAGACACCCCAAAAACAGAGCTCCCACAGCTCCTGCCTCTTGTTTTGGAGGCTGCTGAGGTTTCCCTCCTGGAGGAACTTGCTCCATCTTTCCAGTAGATCCCTGGGCCAAGCCCCATCCCAATCCTTGTCCGTGACCATGTCCATGTCCTTGTCCCCTGGGTTTTGGCTGGTGTGGGGTGTCAGGGCCAGGACTGGGCAATGGGGGAGGGAGGATGCTCCCTACTGAACTGACACCTGCCTTGAAGGACTTTTTGGGGGTGAAACCACCCCAAGGTGTGTTTGTACCCTCCCTCAGGACACAACTTCCCTGCAGCTTCCTTGTTGGGTTCCAGCTACTCTCTCCCCTCTAACAGCTGGGGAAACTGAGGAACAACACCCCCATCACCCTCCGTGTGACCCCTCTCGCTCTGCCTGTCCCCTGCTGTCCCTGGGACACCCTGGGCCACTCTGCTGGAGGGTTCCTGGGCAAGGGGGCAGCCCTGAAATGTGGGGGTAAAGCAGGAGCTGGGAAAGCCAAGCAGGGTTCACCCCAGCCCTGTCCCTGCAGCAGATGGGGACTGAGGGACCAGGGATGTGTCCCTGGAGAGCCCCAGTGGCAGGGTGGGGACTTGGGGTGCACTGGTGGCCTGGCAGGAGCTGCCAAAACTCTCCCAGTGGCTTCAAGGTGAGGAGGAAATCGTGGATCCACCAGCACAGGAACCAGCTGGGCAGCGAGCCCGTGTGTGCCCTGGGCATGGGGGGGGGGGTGTCCCCTGTGTCCCTCCTGTTCCCCGTCCCTCCCATCCCTCCTGTCCCACCCCAGCGCCAGCAGTGTCAAACCTCCGGGTTTCTGCCCAGCAGGAAATTCCAGGGTTTTTGCAGGATTTTTTCATTTGACACAGAGCCAGGGTTCCAAATCCTCCTGCTTCCAGGGGCGGGAAGCTGGGCCCTCCTTGGGCCGGGGAAGTAACACATGGAAAAAAAGAAGTTTATTTATTTTCCCTTGCAAAACAGAGCAATGGGGTGGGAGGGGAAACCTGGACAGCCCCAAGCAGCTGCCTGCCCACACTGAGGCACATCCAGGGGCTGTGGACAGCCACGAGTGGCTCAGGGCACAGAGGGTGACAGGGTGGCCACGATGCCTCCGGCCCCTGACGCTCCCTCTGCTCCCTGGCCAAGAATAGCCGCCTTCCGGCACAGCCCCGCTCACTTTCCTGTTTTCCCTGGGCCAGTCTTGGAGTGTGGGGCTCCACCAGCTCCTGGAGACCCCACAAGATTCCCTGGCAGCCACTTCCACAGGGAAGGGAAGCCTTGGGAAGAGGAGCCTGTCCCAGCTGGAAACCTCCCCTTGAGTGTGCGCTGAGTGTGTGACCAGCACAGGGGCAAACACGCCAAGGTCATGCCAGGGCCACACGGGGAGCAGGGGTGGACACTGAGCACACGCTGGGTGTGCACTGAGGGCACGGTGACAGGTGAGGAGCATGCAGGGCACACGCAGGGCACACGCAGGGGACACGCAGGGGACACGCAGGGGACACGCAGGGGACGCAACACGCAGCTAGCACACAGCACACGTGGCACACACGGTGAACACGCTGCCACTGCCCCGGCTTCCCCCACCATGACAGGGACCCCCTGGGCCAGGCGAGCCCCCAGCCCAGCCCTGGGTGTCCCCCCCATGCCAGGCCGGTGGCCCCAGGGCTGTGGGCCCCATGACCTCTGTGACCTACGTGACCTACGTGGTGGCAGGCACAATTTGGGAATGCGTGGCTCCTCAGGAGGGGAAAGGACCCTCCCTGTCCCCCTGCGGACCCCCCAACAGTGGCAGCACCACCACGCAGCCCCCCCAATCTAGGTTCTGTGGGGAGCCCTCACAGCAGCCCCAACAAAGAAAGGCCTGGGCAGGCCGCGGGACCAGGAGGAGCCATTAGAGCCTGGAAGAGCAGGAATTTCGGCAAGTTTTGGGAGGACCCCACTGTGGTGACCCCACGCCAGGCTGGCACCGGGATTTGGGGCGAGGCTCATGCCCCCCAAACACCCCCCAACAGCGGGGGAGAGCGGGGCAGAGCAGGGCTGCGGTGCTGCGGTGCTGGGAGGGCGGCGGTGACATGGCTGAGGGGGGTCCGGGGGTGCCATGGCTGAGGGGGGTCCGGGGGTGTTGGTAGCAGTGAGGGGGGTCCGGGGGTGCCATGGCTGAGGGGGGTCCGGGGGTGCCATGGCTGAGGGGGGTCCGGGGGTGCATGGCTGAGGGGGGGTCCGGGGGTACTGTGGCAGTGAGGGGGGGTCCAGAGGTGCCGATGGCAATAATGGGGGCGTTCGGGGGGGGGGTCCTGGGGCACCGATGGCTGTGACAGGGGGGTCCGGGAGCGCCGGTGGCTGTCACACGGTGGTCCAGGGGTGTGAGGGGGGGGTCCGGGGGTGCCGTGGCTGCCCCACGGGGGGGTCCTGGGGCACCGATGGCTGTGACAGGGGGGTCCGGGAGCACTGGTGGCTGTCACACGGCGGTGCGGGGGTGTGACAGGGGGGTACGGGAGCACCGGTGGCTGTCACACGGGGGGGTCCGGGGGTGCCGTGGCTGTGACAGGGAGGTACGGGAGCACTGGTGGCTGTCCCACGAGGGGGTCCGGGGGTGCCGTGGCTGTGACAGGGAGGTACGGGAGCACCGGTGGCTGCCCCACGGGGGGGTCCTGGGGCACCGATGGCTGTGACAGGGGGTACGGGAGCACTGGTGGCTGTCCCACGGGGGGGTCCGGGGGTGCCGTGGCGGCGGCGGGCGCAGCCAATGCGCGGGGCGGGCGGTGAAGTCACCGCGGTGCCGCAGCCACCGGCCCCGGCGCAGCCGCTGCGCGCAGCGAGCGCGTCCGTGCTGAGCCCCGCTGGCGTCACACGGAGGGGGGGGGGGGGACAGTCGCACACACGCGTGGGGAGGGGCTCCCACGGGCTCCCCGCGCCGGGAGGGGGGTCCTGCTACCGACCCTGCTCCCCACAGCCACTGCCGGCCCGTGGGGACAGAGGGACGTGACCCCCTGGCCTGCCCCACACCCTCGGTGCAGGCCGGGCTGAGCTCTGCCCCACTCGTGACCTGAGTGGGGTGGGGAGCTCAGGGGCCCCCACTCCCCTGCCACCAGCTGCTGAACGCGGAGCTGGAGTGTCCTTGTCCCGGTGCACGGGGGTCCCCAAGAAGTGTCCCTGTCCCTGTGCCCAAGTGTGTCTGAAGGGGGAGGGGGGAATTGGGGTGCCTGGGTGGGGGGGGAATTGTCCCCTAAAATAGTGCAGGGGGTCTGAGGGATGTGGGGATTGCCCTTCCCCACCCCTGCACCCTCAGTGGGTCCAATCTGGGGGGGACTGGGGGTGCCCCTGTCCATGGGTGCAGCACAGGGGGGTGACAGGGGGGTGTCCCCGTACCTGAGTGCAGCACAGGGGGTGGCAAAGGGGTGCAGCACAGGGGGTGCCAGGTATGGGGGTGCAGGGACCCTTCCGAGGGGTGTCCCCAGCCTCCCCCACACCACAGCAGGGTGCAGGGGGGGTCCCGGTTCCCGGAGCAGCACAGAGGGTGCCCCGGTGCATCGAGGGGGTACCCGAGGGGGGTGCGATGTCCCCAGAGGGAATCCAGTGGGGTGAAGTCCCGGGTGGGTACCCTGGGGGGGTGTGGGTGGTCCCGGGGGGCGTTTGGGGTGTCCCCTTAGGGAGGCTGTTTCCCCAGTGAGTGCCCGGGGGGGGGGGGGGTCTTTGTGTCTCCAGGAGGAATCGGGATGTCCTGGGGGGGCTGTTTGCGTGTCCAGGGGGGCGTTTGTGGGGGTGTTTGTGTCCGGGGGCTGGGGGCGCACTGGGGGCGGTGTTTGTGTCCCCGTACCCGGGGCTCTGGGGGTGTTGTTTGCGTTCCGGGGGAGGGGGGATTGTGGTTTTTGTGTCCCGTGGGTGTCCGGGGTGCTGCTGTGACCCTGGCCGGGGGTGTCGGTGTGCCGGGGGCGGTCGCTGGCGTCCCCGGCGGGGTGTCCCCGTGCCGGGGCTGGGCGGGGGGGTGCCGGTGGGGCCGGGGGCGGGGCGGGGCGGGGCCGTGGCCGTTCCTATAAAGGCGGCGGGGGCGGGAGCGGCGCGTCCCCCCCCGGCGGCGGCGGAGCGGCGCGGAGCGGAGCGGGCGGCGGTGCGGGCTGCGGTACCACCAGCAGCGGCGGCTCTGCGGGGCCGCGCCGGTGAGCCCGGCCCGGGGGGCTCGGGGTCTCGGGGGCGGAACCGGGCAGGGTCCGGGGGTGGCCACAACCGCCTGACCCCCCACCCCTCCTCTCCCCGCAGGTCTCGGCCACCCCCCGGACTCCCCTCCGGCTCTGCCCGTCCCTCCGCCTCCCTCCCCCATCCCCTTTTTTTTTTTTATTTTGCCGCCCCCCCCTCATTTCTCCCAGCAACGCCGCCCCCCGCCCCCCCCCGCAGCAAGATGGTGCAGAAGAAATCAGAGATCCCGGGATTCCACCGCTCCTTCAAGGTAAGGGGCTGCTCCCCCCACCCCCACGGGGATGCTCTGTGGGGGCTCCGGGAACGGGGTGCGCCCGCATCGCTGCATCCCCTGCCCGGGAACGGAGTGGGCCCGGCCGCTTCTTCCTGCCCCACCCCCGACACCCCCCCCAAACTGAGGAGCTCTGGGGGCGCTGCCACCCAAACCGTGCAGGGGGACCCCCCTGTTCCCTCGTCCCGGGGGTCGCGGGGGCTGGGTCAGGGTCTCTCCCCGTGCCTCGGGTGGGCGCTGGGATGCTGCAGCTCCCGCGGGGATCCCCCGTGGGTGGGTTGGCTGCACTTTCCCCCCGCCCAGCTGCACCCCTTGTCCTGGTCGGGCAGCGATGTGGGGGTGGTCTCAGGGCTCCCCAGGCCCGGCCCGGCGGGACCGTGCGAGGTTCGATGCCGGGATGCACCCCCAGCCCGGGCCCGTCACCCCCCGGCTCACCTGCCGCTGTCCCCCCGGGGGTGCGGGGGTCGCGGTGGTCCCGCTCCATTCGGTTCCCCCCTTCCCGAGCCGCCTCCTGGCTGTGGGTTTGGGGGTCCTTTGTTCGGTTTCTCTCCAGCTCCGGGGTGCGGGGGGGTGCCCCTAACCCTGCCCCTCATGGCAGCGACCCCCGCTCCTGCTCGGGTGGCCTCTGGCCGGGGTTTGTGTCCCCCCGCGGTGGCTGGGGATGGAGGGGGGGACACCTCGGCTGTGCTGATGGAGCCCGTGCGCAGCCTCCCATCCCCCAGACCTTTGTGTGGCAGTGCTGCGGCAGCTGGCAGGGCCCCCTGGCCCCCAATTCCCCCCCCCAGTGCCCCCCTGTACTTCCCCTGCCCCCCTGCACACCCCACACCTCTCCCGGAGGCCTCGGCCCCCCCATCCTGCGGGGCTCTGGGATGCTGCGCTCCCCAAATCCAGGTTTTGAGGGGGAGGAAAGCTGGGAAAATGCAGCACAGGAGAGTTTTGGTCCCGGAGATCCAGATTGGTGCTTGGTGGGGGGGTGCTCCTGGTGTGAACCTGCCCCCCCGTTCCGTGGGGACCCCCGGCCCCCCAGGGCTGCAGTAAACAGGCGCCTTCTGGGTGTTTCTGGCGGTGGCCGGGCTGGCCGTGCTGGGGCTGGCAGCTGGCCCGGGCACCGGGCGGGTTTGGGAACGCCGCTGGAGCTGCCACCTCCACCCAAACAGATTTCATAATCCTGGGGAGGAAGGGGCCCTTTTGCCCCTAGAACTGCCCCATCCCATGGGTGGCTGAGGGGAGCAGGAAGCAGGGGGTCCCCATGTCCCTTCGGGTGCCACTGGGGTTCAGTGTGGGGGAAGGAGCGGGTCCCACGCCCTCCATGGATCCCGGGGCGCAGGAGGGTTGGGAGTGAGGCCCGATCCTGCTGGGCTGGGGGTATCCCACAGCTCGGTGGACACAATGTCTAAGGAGCAGGGCAGAGCAGCTCCAGCCCCAGTGACCTTGCACGGAGCTGGGAGGACATGGAGGGGTGGCCCTGGTGCCCGTCTTGCCCTGTGACTTCTCTTCCTCCTCCTCCTAGCTCACTGTGGTTCAGGTTTGGGTGGAGATTTGAGGTTGGGTTGGTGTGGGTGGCTGCGGTCCCTCTCATCATCCCCCGTGTGCTGGCCTGGGGCTGGCTGGAGGAGTGACCCTGCAGCACCGTCCCCATCAGGAGATGTGGTCAAAGCCTTCCTCCTCATCCTCTGGCTCTCCCTGGAGCTCTGCCGTGCCCCACCATGAGCTGGTGTCCTGCACCACGGGGCAGTGAGCAGAATGTGTCCCAGCAGCCAGAGCACGCTGGGCTGTGTGTCTGTGCTGGGCTCAGGGTGGTAGCTGGTGGTGGCTGATCCAGCAGCTGCCACCTCACTGCTGCTCTTGGCTCCCACAGGGGCAGAACCCTTTTGACCTGGAGTTCGACCAGTCCAACCACCTGGAGCCCGTCTTCAACTTCGAGTGCCCGCCCCGTCCTGGTGAGTCTCGGTGCCTCCTCACCGGCTCCTCCCGTCCTGCCGCTGGGATTTTGGCCCTAAGGCCCTGGGGGCAGCCCTGGCGCTGCTGGGGGAGCTGTGGGTGGACAGGGATGGCTGACACAGGTGGCTTTGATCTGGCCCAGACATGCCTTCAAGTCAACCCATCGACATCCCTGATGCCAAGAAAAGGAACAAGAAGAAGAAGCGCTGCAGAGCCACCGACAGCTTCTCCGGCAGGTTCGAAGGTGAGCGGGGCTGCTCGGGCACCCAGGGGTTCCCCTTGGGGCAGGGCTGGGCCCTCCTGGTGTCCCCAGGCTGTGTGCAGTGGGGCCAGCTGCTCAGGTGACCTCTCCCCTGCCAGATGTTTACCAGCTGCAGGAGGAGGTGCTGGGAGAAGGGGCCCACGCCAGAGTCCAGTCCTGCGTGAACCTCATCACCAACAAGGAGTACGCGGTGAAGGTAAAGCTCCACTGCTGCGGCTGCAGAGCCACCCTCCTCCCACCCCCGCCTCAGTCTCCACATCTGGGGCTCTCCCAGCTGCCAGGACCATCGGTGCTGGCCCAGGACTGTGGCTCTGTGGGCTGGAGGGAAGGGAGAGGGACAGGGATGTGGCAGGGGTGATGGCACACCGATGTCAGCCACCATCCAGCTTGGGGTCTTTGGTGACCCCCTTAGCCACGCTCCTCTCCCTGTCAATGAGGCCAGGCCAGAGACTAAATTAACACTTGGGATGCATCTGGGGACTTGGGGCAGACAGGGGCATGTGGTGCTGGCAGGGTGCTCACCCCCTGCTCACTGCAGGGAGGTCTCTCTCATGCGGGTGCTGGAGGGGGTTGGGCTGAGCTTTTGGCATCAGGGATGGTGTCCCGTGGCCCTGCACCTCACAGAGTCTGAGCCGTGGCATGTGGGCTCTGGGATGGGCCCTGTGTCACGATGCAGCCAAATACTGGGGGAGCTTTGCCTCCCCTATCACTCCATGGGGGCCAAAACTGAGGCAGCAGGGAAGGCTGTACCCCAAAGAGCAATGCCAGCACCCATCTGCCCCCATCCCTGTGTGGGGTGTCCCCTGTCCAGCCTTGGCACGGCCAGGGTCAGCGCCCAGTGGGGCACAGGGCCCTTGGCTGCGCCGCTGCTCAGCGTCACGTGGAGCTGTGCTGGCCCCGGCCCCGGAGGGAGCGGCTTGGCACGGCGCTGCCGCTTGGCACCCGTGCCAGAACAGCCTGTTCTGCTGCCTGGGCCCCGCCCGCCCCACGTCCCCGCGCTGCAGGGGCAGCAGTGCCCCGGCCCCTCCCTGGCACCCCCCCTTTGCCTTGCAGATCATAGAGAAGCGCCTGGGACACATCCGGAGCAGGGTTTTCCGGGAGGTGGAGATGCTCTATCAGTGCCAGGGACACAGGTACGGCAGGGCATCCCCCATGTGGGCACAGGGAGTGGGCTGAGACCCGGCTGATGCTCGTGGCACCCATGGGTCACAGCCAGGCCGCCCTCTGCCCACACTCCCTCCCCTTGACCACGCTGGAGCATCCACAGGGGACGTTCAGTGGTTTGCCATGACGACAGGGCCTCGGTGGCCAAGTTGGAGCCGAGCCCCTGCTGCTGAGCCGGGCTGTGTGGGGTGGGCCAGCGAGCCAGGAGGGGCTGGGAGCAATTAGGGAGGAGCAGAGCCCGGCGCTGCAAGCCCCTCTCCCTCCTGGAATTCGGCCAGGGGGGCCCTGGCCGTGTGGTTTCAATCACTGCAAGCCCAGTTTTCCCATCCTGCATCCCTCTCGGGGTTCTGTGCTGGATGGGGCTGTGGGGGGACCCCAGGAGGTGTTTTGGGGGGATGCTGGACTGATGCCATGGTCCCTGCAGGAACGTCCTGGAGCTGATTGAGTTCTTTGAGGAGGAGGAGAGGTTTTACCTGGTGTTTGAGAAGATGAGGGGAGGTGAGTGCGGCCCCAGGGGGGAGGGAGCTGGGGCACCAGGACCCCCACGAGCCCCAGCTCTGCTCTCACCTGGCCACAGGCTCCATCCTGACCCACATCCACCGGAGACGCCACTTCAACGAGCTGGAGGCCAGCGTGGTGGTGCAGGATATCGCCAGTGCCCTGCACTTTCTGCACAACAAAGGTGAGCTGGGACGCCCCAGGTGCCACTGAGGACACCCTGGGGTGTGCTGGGCCCTCCCGGGGGTGTCACTGCCTCCCCCACCCTCCTGCCCAGGGGACAGTGCCCGTCCCAGCACGCAGGGTCAGGCCCAGCTGCATCACAAGGCTTTTTGTGGTGCAGATCCTGTTCCTCCAGTCTGGTTGGGATTCGGGGCCAGCATCAAGTTTTGCCTTTTGCCAGGGTGCAGGCAGTGATTTGGGGTGGGGAGGGAGGGGTCCCTGTGCCACCCCCAGACTTTACACTATAGTAGTCTTGTAGGAGGGGGATTTTTACCCTCATTGGCTCTTTTGCCCCCAGGGATTGCACACAGGGATCTGAAACCAGAAAATATCCTGTGTGAGAGCCCAGACCAGGTGAGCGGGGAGCAGCCAGGGTGGGTGCAGGGTGTGCTGCCTGGGGGGGTGGGCACAGTGGGGCGATTCCTCAGGTGGCGGTGCAGGAGGGTCCTGCCAGGGACACACACACCCACCCCCGAGGTCCTGCCAGGGACACACACACACACCCCATATGCCACAGCACAGCGTGGTTCTGTGAAGCATGACACAACCTGGCATCGAGCAGCTGTGGCGTGAAAACACGGCTGTGGTCCCCGGGGGGCTCTGGTTCCTGGAAGATGCTGGGGGGGTCACCGACCACTCCTTCCCCCTTTTCCCCAGGTCTCCCCAGTGAAGATCTGCGACTTTGACCTGGGAAGTGGCATCAAACTGAACGGCGACTGCTCCCCCATCTCCACTCCGGAGCTGCTCACCCCGGTAAGCGTTGTGGGGTCCCCCAGCTGCCCTGCAGCCCCAGGAAAACGGGGCTGTACCGACACCCCCGCTCGTTCCCCCCGCCGAGGCAGGGCGATGCGGTTACATAAGGCGGGGGGGCCGGGGGCTGGCGCGGTGCCCGGGCTGCCGTGAGCCTTAGCAACAGCCCGAGCGGCTGTGCCGAGCCTGCCGGGCTCCGCTGGGCCGGCACCGGGCTGGGGGCCCGTGGGCGAGGGACGGGGCTGAGCCTCCCTCCGGGCTGCGGGGTGGGCACCCCGACAGCTCCGGGTGTCCCCGTGTCGCACAGAGGGGACAACAGGGAGAGAGCTGCGCTCCCCTTATCGCCAGCCGCAGGGCACCGTGCAGGGTGTCGCCTGGCACCCCGTGCAGGGTGTCGCCTGGCACCCCGTGCAGGGTATCGCCTGGCACCCCGGTTTTTTGGGGGTGGGAGGACGGAGCGCAGCCCGTGCGGTGCGCACAGCCGGAGCCCCCCAAACCCCTCCTTCCTCCGGGGTGGCATCCGAGCTCCCGAGGCACCCCGAGTTTCCCATGCTCAGCCCATGCGCTGGGATGGAGCTGGGGGTGTTGTTTTCCAGCTGCTGGGGCCGGAGAGGCCCCTCGCCGGGAGGCCTCTCTGGTTACGGGGCGATTATCTGCTGGCTGCAGCTCTTTTCTCCCCTGATCATGGGGCCTGTGTGGGCTGCGGGTCATGCGCTGGAAAGCCCCAGAGTCCCCGGAGCGATAGGGGAACGGGGCCGCCGGCTCTGCCTCTCCCGCCCCGCGTTAACTCCTCCCGGCCCGGATCCTGCGCGGCAGCTCCGCCCGTGCCGGTTCCCCGGCGGAGGAACAGGCACAGCGGGATCGTCCCACCGTGTCCTGCGGCCGCTCCCGAGCTCTGGGCCTGCCCCGCGGAGCCGGTTGGGTGGTGACAATGCTGTGGGTCCTGTGGGTCTGGCTGTGCTGTGCCGTGGGGGTTGCACCCTTTAGGCTTTATTTTTGTTTTCCTTCGGGGTGGCAGCTGCTGTTGGGTGACCCCAGAGAGGCGGGTCTGTGGCATCAAACCCAGCAGGGGGATGTGGTGGGAGCAAACCTGGGGAGCACCTTCCATTCAGAGGTGCAGCCCCAGAGATCTGGCAGGACCCTCCCAGCCCCCCTGCCCCTTCGGTCCCCACCCTTGGGGCTCACCCCCTGCCCCTTCGGTCCCCACCCTCGGGGCTGACCCCGCCTGTCCCTGCAGTGTGGCTCAGCCGAGTACATGGCCCCAGAGGTGGTAGAAGCCTTCAACGAGGAGGCCTCAATCTACGACAAGCGCTGTGACCTGTGGAGCCTGGGTGTCATCCTGTACATCATGCTGAGCGGGTACCCCCCCTTCGTGGGTCACTGCGGCTCTGACTGCGGCTGGGACCGGGGTGAGGCGTGCCACACCTGCCAGGTGAGTGGGGGACCCCAGCAGCGCCCAAACCCACCCCCAGTTTGGCTGCAGCACTCCTGGCTGAACCCCTGTTATTTCTCCCCCTGCTCAGAACATGCTCTTTGAGAGCATCCAGGAGGGGAAGTATGAGTTTCCTGACAAGGACTGGGCACATATCTCCTTTGGAGCCAAAGACCTCATTTCCAAGCTGCTGGTGAGAGATGCCAAGAAGCGGCTCAGCGCAGCCCAGGTCCTGGAGCACCCCTGGGTCCAAGGGGTGAGTGTTGATTTCCCCTCCCCTCTCTCTGCTCCCAATGTCTGGGGTGGGGAGCACCTGTCTGCACAATCCTGGCTCTGACTTGCTGCATTTTGTTTGCAGTGTGCCCCGGATAACACCCTGCCAACCCCCATCATCCTGCAGAGGTGAGTGTGGGTTGCCCTGGGGCCCCTGCCAGACCCTAAATCCTGACTCCACTCGGCAGCACTACTGTCTGTTCCTTCTGCTTTTTGGGGGTTCTGCCATGACTCTGTGTCTGGGCAGCCCTGCCAGTTTGGGTTTGATTTTGGTGTCTGGCATGGCCAACATGTGAGGAGGAACACCTGGATATTTGATTCTGACCTCCCTCCAGCCCCCCACACCCCTCTGAGCCCGTGCCTCCCCTGCAGGAACAGCAGTGCCAAAGAGCTCACCTCCTTTGCTGCCGAGGCCATCGCTGTCAACCGCCAGCTGACACGGCATGATGAGGACGAGGAGGAAGAGGCGGAGGAGGAAGCACGACCCATCATCATCAAAGCTACCTCACGGGCCATGCAGCTCTCCCCTCCCTCTGAGTCCAAGCTGGCCAAGCGGCGGCAGAAGAGCAGCCTGGCCAAGGCAGTGGCCTCTGGGCAGCACCTGGTGGCCCCGCTGGTCCTGGTGGCCGACCAAGCCTGAGTGGTGCCCCTCACACCTGCTGTACCCCATGTCCCCCCTTCTCCTCCTTTCTTTCTTCTCCTTTCCCTCCCTGACCCCACTGTTTCTGGCTAGTGACAAGATCAGGACTCGTCCCTGTGGCTGGTTTCCAAGGTTTTGCTGATCTTGTAGGTCTGGGGGTGGGAGGGTTTGTTTAAGATTTTTTTTTTTTTAAAGATATTAAATCAAGTGTGAGGTTGCTTCACCCAGGGCACACTCAAGGACATCTGACAGACACACGGACTTTTGTTTCCCAGCTCTTGGTTTCTCCTCTGACATTTTTCCCCGTCCCTGACACCAAAGGACTCTTTGTGTCCGCGGCTGCTTTGACGATTTCAGCTCATTTCATACTGTGAACAAAAGACCCTCGGTCGCGTTTTTAACAACGGGAGTTGCGTTTTAACCTCGTCCCTCCCCTCAGAGCTGCAGGTTTTTCTCCAGTGTTGGGGGAGATGCCACAAAAACCCCTTCCTGGGGGTCTGGGAGGCACCTCCCGGGTGTGGGGAGCCCCTCTGTGCTGTGCTCGGCTCCAGGGGGACATAGTGCAGGGAACTGCTCGGGCTGGGGAGAGACGGTGCCAGCAAGGGAGCAGCACCCAACCCACCCTCTCTCCTTGGCCTCCTACTTCCAGAATAAGCTATTCACCCCTTTTCTTTTTCTTTTTGCCCTTTTTTTTTTTTCTTTCCTTTTTTAATTACTGTTGGTTTTAAACTGCCAGCTGTGCTTCTCGACAGGGCATGGAGAAATGTCTTCCTTTCCTCCCACGCTCCGGCTGGCAGCTCCCTGGGGGATGCATGGGCATCCAGGGCTGTGCTCTTGTGCCAGGTCAGGTGTTGCACCCTGGGTTTTGGAAGGGCTGGTGGCTGTGCCCTTGGGGATGTGCATGGGGGATGAGGTGTTCAGGGTGGCCAGAGCAGCCAGAAACACTCTCTGGGAATTGTGTGCTCTGTGGAAAACAAGGACCCCCTTAAAAAGCATCAGGACCTGCTGCAGGACAGTGAGACCTGCCGTGGCTTCAGGCTGGCCCCGAGGCTGCTGTGGCATGAGGGTCGGGGGGCACAGAGGGTGCCCAATGCTCCAGGGGTGCCAGTGGGTGAGCAGGCAGGCTGGTAGCAGCACCCAAAGGTTAGGGCACAGGGGAGCAGCCTTGGAGCAGCTGGGGATGTGGGGCTGGAAGGTTTGGGGTCAGAGCAGTGGGGTGTTCAGCAGGGAGAGCACTGGTGTGGGTGGTCGTGCACGTGCATCCCTGCTCACGTGTGTTCAGGCGTGCACGGCGTTGTCCTTTCCTTGGAGTTTGCTTCGGGGTGCTGAGTTGGGGTGAGGCCCTTGGCTGGTTTCTGGGTCTGTCCAGGGGAGCAGGGCCTGTACTCGGGGCCAGACCAGCATCCAGATCCCCCTGACACCCCCTGCTCCCCGCCACAGGCACTGCCAGCCCCCATCCCACTGGGAGGGCAGTGCCCCCTTCATAGCCTCCTCCTGTCCCTTCTCACTCAGTGCTTTGAGCTTTTTGTTTTGCAAAAGCAGCCTTGGCCCATCGTGCACAGGTGAGGGTTTGGGAGCTCTGAGTTGGGAAACAGACTTCCCTGGGTCTTCAGCTGATGACAGTCGCTGTCTCTGGAAAAAAAAAAAAAGAAAGTTCTCCTTTTTATTTTAAGACTGCTGACAGCAATACTATGCAATATATGTTGTTTTTTGTTTCAGGGAGGTGTGTGTGAGTTATCTTGGGAGATGATGATCTCGGGTGTTGATGGAGTTTAGGGCAGGGGTCATCTTTTCCCACCCTTCCCAGCCTTTCTGCTGACCCAGGGGGCTGAGGAGGGTGACTCCATCCCCATCCCACCCCCAAAACTGTCTGGCATTTGTGATCTCCCTCTCCCTGTGTGTCCCCAGTCCCACTGTGCTGGGTGGAGAGGAGCAAGGCAGTGGTGATGGGAGACCCTCCCTGCAGGCACCAGGACACCCTGGAGAGGCCTCCTTTAACAAAAAGAAAAAAAATCCATCTTGATTGTACATTGTTACTTTTTATAGCTTATTTTGTTTTATCAGTTGTAGATAATTCCTTGTTGTCTTATATTAAGAAATACTTGAATGATGTACAGTACGCGATGCCTTGAGCTGGTATTGTGAAGCTATCGTTGATGCTGCACGCCGCAGCCTTTTTTAAAAAACAAAAAAGTCATGGGAAGGGGATGGCAGGGGGATGTCTCCAAAATGTATCTGTCCCACATGCTGCTTTTGTTGGCAAACTGAGTTTCCCTTTTTCCCCCATGATAAGAGCGATCTCTTTTATACCTATGTGTGAGTACACCACACACACTGGGGAAGGCCTGGGTGACCCTGCCTGTGTCCCGTGGGTGTCCTCGGCTGAGGATGTGCAGCCAGAAGATGCTGTGGGAGTTTGTGGGAGTTGGAGGGTGTGCTGGGAGCATCTGAGCTCATCCCGGGCTTGGCTTTGCATTTTGGGTGGGGTTTGGTGTGGACCCGGTGCTCCTGGCGTGGTACTCGGGGGTGTGACCCAAGGCCGGGGCTGTGCATTGGTAGAGAATCTTGAAATGCCTCTAAGAGTCAGGAATTGACTGGAAAACCTCCAGCCTGGCTGGTGGCAGTGCTGGGCACCCATGGGTGCCCTGGTGGGGCAGGCATGGCTGGGGACACCCTTGTGCCAGACATCCCCTCCCCGCTGCCAGCACCTCTCCCGGGGCGGTTTCCAGACAGATGCTCCCGTGGTCCAGCACCAGCGACCCTCTCTTGCCAGCACTCTTCTTCCTCCTCTTCCTCTTTCCAATCTTTCCCCCTCCATAGAGCATCTATCTTGGAAACCAACTTCAAAAATTATTCTTTTTTTTTTAAGCTGGAAATGTTAAGTGTTTTCGCTTCCTCTCCTTTCCCCCCCCACCCTTCCTCCAGCCAACTAACTCGACTTAGAACTGGTTAGAAACGTTTACTGTGAAGCTAACTCTTTTTTATCAAACCAGGAGAAACTTTCTCCACTTTACAATTGATGAAGACTGCCAAAGCTGGTTCAACAAGAGTCACGTTAACGCACTGTTGGTTTGTGCAACAGCAGCCACTGCTCAGGGGCTGGCTGGGAAATAAAAAAGAAAATACAAAAAAAAAAAAAAAAAAAAAGACAAAACTACAAAAACAAAAAAAAAGAAAAAAAACAAACACACAAAAAGACGCACTTTACTGTATGTACCAGGTGACCTGATACAGCTGAATTGAAGTTTTCCTTTATAACAATTGTTGATGCCAGAATTTTGTATTCTGTTTTGTAAGAATTTAATAAAAATGCATTGAGACCTATATGGTGGGTAGATGGCTGTGGTAGATGGGGGGGTTGGGGAGGTGGGTGGCACTCCATCCAGGGCTCCTCTCCCCAGTATCCTTCCCAAATCACTTGTTCCTTCCCAGCCTCCTGGGAGTGTGGCTGGAGTGGGGTGCCAGGAATAGGGGCTGGCAGTGGCTCAGACCCTGACTCACTTTTCCCAGCGGGATGGTGTGATCCTCACCACCCCAATGGGAGATGGAGGGTGTGGGGCAGGGCTGTGCTCCCTGCCAGCTGCACCCAGTGGCTTTGGGACTGCCCTGCCACCCCCAGGGGTGCTCCTGGCACATCCCCCCAACCCCTCCATGGGTCAGGGTGCAGAGGGGACACTGAGGCAAGAGGAAAGTGTGGTGGGGACTGGAGGCTGGAGGTCAGGGTGTGGGAAAAAGGCTGTAGAGGCCCTGCTGAGCTTTCTTACACGGACAAGGCAAGACCTTGTGGAATTAAAAAACAAAAATTAAAAATCCTGACTTCTCCAGCCCTGCTGCTATGCTGGGGGATGGAGCTGGATCCCTCTGGATGTTATTGTCATGGTGCTGCTTGCCCTGGCAGAACCCCATCCATGGCACCCCTGGTTTGGGGAATGGGCTGTGGGCTCTGCCATGGACCAGCTGCTGTTCCCAGCTCTGAGCTGAGGCTCACTGCTTGGTAAGTGCTGCAGCTGCTTCTTGCAGCATCTGGATCAGGACAGGATGGCTCCAGAAGTCTCCCTTCCTTGGCTGTTCCAGGATGGCATGTGGTGAGAACAGAGCTGGGGTTCCCTTCATGCTGAGGATGAGGAGCATATCCCATCCCATGGTGCTGTTCCTGCCTCTGTTGAACAAAGCCACTGCTCCCTCCTGGGCCTGGGGCCACCAGCTGGTGACCCTGGACATTTTAGGAGCATCCAGCTCTTGGCTCTTCTTCCTCTCTTGCATGTTCTTTCACCATCACCGGGCCCTCAGCTGTGTGCTTCAGAAATCTTTCCCCTCCTGTCTTTTGTTAAGAGCTATCCTGCAGACAATCCTTCCAAGATTCTAGGTGGATCCCAGACAGGTGTGTCAAAGGCAGCTTTGTTGCAGATGCTGGTTTAACTTCGAATCTCTAAAATTCCTTCACATGGTCCCTCTTCTCCCCCTTTCCCAATTTCCCCAACCCCAGAAAGCGCCTGGTAGTTGGAAACCATTCCTGAGCACGTGCAGAGAAGGGCAGCTCTGAAAATAACCCAGTGCTGGGTTAAAATAACCTGTGCTGCTCTGGTGCCCAAAATAGGCTCCGCCGGGATAAGGGCGCTATAAATACCCTGGTGTGGATTTGCATTGGAGAAAAGCCCCGCAGAAGCAGGAGCAGAGCGATGCCACCCACGCTGGCCCAGAGGGAAGGGGCCACTGCAGAGCCACCAGGGTCACCCAGGCTCTGGGTGACATGTGGCTTGGTGCCAGCCCGCCTGACTTCAGGATTTAACAGAGCCATCAGGTCATGGTTGGATCTGAGTGGCCACAGCACTGGGGTGGCTGGTGGGGTCACATCTGGCTTCAGCAATGAGGCAGCTGGGCAGGAGCAAAGATGAAGTGTCCTCAGTATTTTGGGTCTGAGCTCTGCTGGTGACAAATGATGGTCTGGGTGATCAGCCAACATTTTGATTCTATGTCTGCCCAAAAAACCACCCTGGAGTGAGTAACATGCATTTCCTCAGACCAGACTGCTCTCCTGAACCATCAGTGAACCCCAAACCCGCACTGGGCAATGCAGAGGGGAAGGTGTGAAATGTGTTTTGATGCAAAACAGCTGCTTTGGATAAAAAAAATATTTAATCTTTCTTTTTGTGCTTTTAAAATGCTTCCTAGGATGGGGCAAAGGAAAGAACTCCTGTGCATTCTGCAGAAAATCATGTCTCCTATCCAGGCAACCCAAACCAACCATCCAGGGTGGTTTTTCCGTAGTATGTGCCATTTTGGTGTGATTCTGATGGTGTGTGCAGGTTCTCCCTCTGAAGTCATCTCAGGGAACGAGTGCTGTGCACCCCAGCAGAGCCCAGCACACAGGTCTGGCCCTGCCTGTGTTTCCTGTGGCTGCTCCCTCTGCACCAGGAGCCTTGGTGGCACTGACACCTGGCACTTGGTGGCACAGCACGGCACGTCTGTTTCCTTCACTGCTGGAGAAGGCCTTGGTCAGCCTTGTTGGTGGTTTTGGATGGTGAAGTGTGGATTTTGGAGAGCCATGGGGTTCAGTTCTGGCTTTCCCACAGTATTCCAGCTCCAGGTGGAATTGCATGGGCAATGGGAGCTGCGGTCAGTCAGCGGGAGCAGAGCAGGGTCGGGTTTTCCCAAAACCCAGGAGAGCTGTCCCATGGGTGCGCCCTGGGCCTTGTGAGATGCCTTCTCACCTGGCTGGAGGTTTAGATCAAGGCTTGGTGCTAAGGCACAGGTTTTGGCAGGTCCCACTTTGCCTTCCTCTGGCTCACACCCAGGATGTCTCTGTCTTTGCCATGCAGTCTTCCTTGGAGCTTCCTTACATCCTAAAATGCCTCCTCTGAGGTGAGCTGCTCAGCCAGGGGAGAGCTGCATCTGCCTGGCTTTGCTTGGAACACGCATTTCCAGCTTTTGCTTGGAGCACACATTACAAATGTTCTTTTCTGCCTACATGAGGTGAAGAAAGGCCAGATGTTCTCTGCTATCCAGCTCTGAGCACTCTGGTCTCTCTGGTTTCATTCCAGGTGCTCGTAGCCTTGTGAGACCCTTCATGTCCAGCCCTGGATGGGGTCAGCCTTCATGCCACCAGCTGAACCCCAGCGATTTCCCTGCCCAGCATTACTGCTGGGGTGAGGCTTTTGTTCATGGCCCAGCTAAACAGCACTGTCTTTGCCCAGTGCCTGATCTCTGAAGGAATCTGTTGGCATCCAGACCCAGAAATAATGACGCCGGGCCTTTTATAGGAGTGTTTGTTCCCAGGTTTATTTTTGGGATGGTAAAGTCTCCTGTATGACACTCATCTTTTTATTCCTCTGGTCTAACACACCACTGATCACCATGGTGCTGGTGCTGGGTCGCTGCAGCAAACCTGTCACCCCATCCCACAGCGCCATGGTGGGTGTCCCACACAGATCCATTATCCCCAAGATCCACGGCTGTGTTTCCTTACACTGGTCTGGAATTAAGCCTCTGGCTCCTGCCACAACACAAATCACCCTGATTTAGTTTACCACCAGGATGTGCCAGATGCAGGGTGGCAGGGCTGGCACGGTGAGCATGGCACAGAGCAGGCTGGTGCTGCTGTCAAGATCAGGACTGAACGGGTGCAGAATCCTCTCCCCAAGTGATGCAGAAGCACCCGTCCTCCCTGGCAGGCACACCGACCCCTCGGAGGCACCACAGTTTGTGGAGGATGAATTTGCTGGGATTTTGGAGCAGGGAATGCTATGGTGAAGAACCAGCATGGGCTGGACAGGCCATTCCTGCCAGCCATCAGCCACGTCCAACCATCCAGCCGGGCACAGCGAGCCTCCAGCTCCCTCTAATGTTCCTGGCCCGAAAGGAACATCCGCAAGCAGGACAGGCCTGAGCAGCGAGCGGGCGGGCGGCCAGGCTGCACGGCCCCGAGGGAAAAGTGTGACGCTGAAATCTGTGGAAGCAGCTGGGCTAGAAACGGGGGGAGTGATGGGCTGAGGAAATGGTGTTAAAGAGTAAAGGATGCAGCGTTTTAACAGAGAATATGGCTGTACTGAATGCTTGGTTATTATTAACAAATGAAAGATTTCACAGGAAAAACGACTGTTCCTCTAAAAAAATACTATTTCTAATACTCTAAGTAGGCTGTGTTTCCAGCCCTGGAAGTGTTCAAAACACATGTGGTGACATGGTTTAGTGCTGAACATGGTGGTGATGCTGAGGTAACAGCTGGACTTGATCTTAAAAATGTTTTCTTATATTAATGATTCTATGGTTCTGTGGCTGTCTGATTTTAAAGGCTCTTAGTCATGCCTGCCTACACTGGGATTGTTAGGACAAGAGCTCTGCATAGGAGTTTCCCAAACTTGTCCATGTGAAATGCAGCTTTAAAAATGCAGCAAGAAACCTGACAGCACAGAACGCACCATAAACAGGTATTGATAATATGATACAAAGCCAGGTTGGACTGTCAGTCAAAATCAGTGGTGTAGCAGCACTGCTGTGTCCGGCCAAAGTGGCTCATGGGGAGATCCCAGAGCTGTGTGAGGGTCTGGAAGTGTTGAATCCACACAAACAGCACACAGTCCACACAGACAGCATGAATCTGTGTGCTACAGAAGCTGTAATGCCGAGGCACAGGAAGCAGAAGGGGCAGCCAGGCCATCTCCCCTCTGACACATGGACTCACGGACCACAGGCCTGCTCCTGACTGGGTGTATGTGCAGCACAGATCAGGGGATGGATAACAGAGAGAGGGGGAATGTAATTACCCTGTGAAGAATAACTCACTTTAACGGTTCAGTTACTGAGATCACAGCGAGACAGTGGCACAGCCTCTTAATTAATCTTCTGCTTTGCAGCCGGCTCCTGCCCCTGCGCCATCTCCACCTCGTGCTGCCTGGCGAGGAGATGCCATCGGTGGGGACAACACTGGCCAGTGGTTTCTGGCTGAGCAGGTCCAGCAGGAGCAACAGGATACGACCAGATGAGGCTCATAGTGCTGTGGCTTCTGGGTTTGTGGTGGTCCAGGCCTGTGTCAGCAGCAGCAGCCAGTACCTCTGATTATTGTGAGGAATTGCTGGGCATGAAGCAGGGGTTTAGGGATGCTGGAGGCCTGGGTCTGCTGCAGAGGAATGGCTGGTGTGTGAGGTCATGAAGGGAAAACCCCCAATTCACCTTCACCTCCACACAGCCCAAACCTCCCTGGCTCCTCACCCCCAGCACTGACCCCCTTCAGCCCCTTAACTCTCAACCTCTTCTCTGTGAATTGCACCCCCCATTTCTCATCTCTTCACAAACTGCTCTCTGGGCTCCCTTATCCCTCATCCTCCTCAGAATAACCCCTTTCACAGGGATGCTCTCCTTATCCCTCAAAATTGCCCCTCAAGGATTGCTCCCTTTTGACCCCCCTCACGTTGCTCCTTGGGGAATCACCATTATCTCCAACCTGTTTCTCAGGGATTGCTTCTGTCTCTCCCCCACACTGCTCCTCAGGGAAGCTTATCCCTCAAAACTGCCCCTCAGGGATTGCTTCCCTCACCTCCTGCCTCGCTCATTGCTCCTCAGGAAATCACTCCCTTTTCCTTGTTTCTCTTCCTTTCACCCCAGGGATGTGCCCTCATCCTTCTCAGGGATCGTTCCCTCATCCCCAAAACTGCCCCTCAAGGATTGCTCTTCTTGCCGCCCCTCCACATCGCTCCTCAGGGAAATGGTCCCTTATCCTCAAAACTGTCCCTCAGGTTTGGCCCCTCATCATCTTCAGGGATTATTCCCTCATGGATCATCCCTTTACTCCCCGTCAGGGATCACGTCCTCATTCCCAAAACCGCCCCTCAGGGACTGACCCTCACTGCCTCAAGGGTCGCCCCCTTTGTCCCCAGCCTGTCCCTCAGGGATGTTTCCCATCCTTTTCGTGGCTCAGCCCTTCAGGGATCATCCCCTTACTCTCCCTAAGGGATCGTCCCCTCATCCCCCACACTGTCCCCAGGGATCGCCCACCAAAATTGCCTCTCTCATTCCTTCACACTGGCTCCCCAGGGTCTCATCCCCTCTTGGCCCAAAATCCTTCAGGGATTGCTCCCATCTGCTGCTCGTCAGGGAAATGCCCCCTTACTCTCAAAAGAGCCCCTCAGGGATCGTCCCTCAGCCCCCTTAGGGATCGCCCCCCTCATCTCCAAAAGTGCTCCTCAGGGATGGACCTTCATCCTCCTCAAGGCTCGCCCCCTCAGGAGTCATCCCCTCCGGCATCACCCCCTCACTCGCCCTCACATCGCCCTCCATCCTCCTCCTCCGTGCGGCCCCGCCCGCCGCCTCACGCCCTCTCCCCGCCCCGCCGCCGCCTCCGCCGCTCCCCCCGTGCCCGGCCGGCGGCGGCGCCCGCCCCATGCGCCGCTGCTGCCCGGCGCTCTGCATCCGCACCGCCATCGACGCCACCGCCATCGACTCCACCGCCGACATCTCCGCGGCCCTCGTCCCCGTCCCGCCCGCCGCCGTGTCCCGCCCGCCGCTGCTGGTGCTGGTGCTGCTGCAGCGCCGCCCCGCGCCGCCCGCCCCCGCGGCCCCGCCGCACAAGATGGCGGCCGGAGGGAGCGGCGGCCCCGGCGGCCTCTCCTCCTCCTGCCCGCAGCCGCCGCCGCCCCCGCCGGGCAACGGGGCCGCGGCCGCCGCCTGCACCAACGGCGCGCCCGCCTCGCCGCCCGGCCTCACCTACAACCAGAGCGGCGCCGCCAACCCGCCGGCGGCCGGCGGCGGCGCGGGGGGCCCGGCGGCGGCGGGGGCGGCGGGGGCAGCCGGCGGGGCGGGCGGTGCTGGCGGGGCGCTGCAGCGGGAGCCGGTGTACAACTGGCAGGCGACGAAGCCGACGGTGCAGGAGCGGTTCGCGTTCCTCTTCAACAACGAGGTGCTCAGCGACGTGCACTTCCTGGTGGGGAAGGGCCGCGGCTCCCAGCGCATCCCGGCGCACAGGTGGGGCGGGGGGCGCGGGGGTCCCACGCGTGGGGAGCCGGGAATGCGGGAGGGATGAGGGATGAGGGGTGTGGGGGCACCATCCCCATGGCCCTGCGGGGTGGCCGCGGGTCCTGGGCCTCGGGAGGGTCGTCCCGGTTGGCTCGGTGGGCCTGGGGGCTTCCCCTCATGGCTTCCCCTCATGGCTTCCCCTCATGGCCCCCACAGCGATAAAGGGAATCGCCCGTTTATTTGACAAAAGTGTCCCTCCGGCATCTCTCCTCCTCCTCCTCCTGTCAGTGATCACCCCTCAACTCCCAAATTGCCCTTCGAGGATGGCTCGTCTTTCCCCCCACTCTGTTATTCCCTGAGGGATTTGCTCACATATCCCCTCCGGGAATTGCATCCTTATCCCCCTCACTTCCCATCGCAGATTGCTCTCCTCACCCCTCTGTGTTGTTCCTCAGGGAATCACTCCTGTATCCCCCAAAACTGCTTCTCAGTAATTATTCCCTTTGCTCCCTCGTGTTTCTCCTCAGGGAACTGTCCTCTTATCCCCCAAAACTGCCCCCCTCAGGGACTCCTCAGGGGTGGCCCTTCATCCTCTTCAAGGATGATCTCCCGTCATCCCCAAAGTGTCCCTCAGAGATGGCCCTGGAAGTGCTGTGGGCTCTCCTGCAGCCTCGGGTGATGATGTGCCATCAAGTGGGGTACAGGGGTGCAGGGTTTGAGCTGCTGCGCCTCCCCTGTGAAGAGAGAAAAGGGGGTCACATAACTGCACCCCACATCTCACCCCCTGCTCAGGGACATGTCCTGAGCACAGGACTGTGGTCAGTCAGTGCTGCCCCAGATCTCTCCCAGCCTTGGGTCAATGTCATGTCTCTACTCATGGTCACCAGCTCGGGATGCATCCAGGGTTTGGGTGAGAGCGTTTTTCCCAGAGGGATGGTGTGAGTGGGACAGACACAGCGTGGAAAACCCCACATCCCTGGGTCTCGCTTGGAAATAACCCTTGGTTTAGTAGGCAGTAGAGCAGAGGAGGAGTAGTCTCCCAGACTGCCTGATCCCTGCTGACAAGGGTCACCAAAATCTGTGAGAGCACTGGGGATGGAAATGAAGGAACAACGATTTGAGACCCCAAATTTCAGGTAGAACACTTTAATTTTAAAATGGCCTTTATTGAATCTTTTCTGAAGCCCTGTTTTAGGGCTTAATCCTCAACCATGAAGAGCTGTGTTGAGAATGACAACTGGGCCTGGTTAACCCGTAGAGGTTAATGCATAAGGCTGAGCTGCCATTTAAGAATTTGCAGCTCAGAGAAACTGAGAATCGTGGAGCTGGGAATCGCCTCCACCTGGATGATGCAGATCTGATGTGGCTGATTGACATTCAGCTGGTTCCTTGGGGGAGCTCCAGTGAATCCATGTATGCCACCCTCTTCCTCCTACCCTGGGAAGGGCCTCCCAAGGAAGAGCTCAGAGATGGAACCAACTTTAATTGGGTGGGGGAGGTTCCTTGGTGTACCTGGAAGTGTTGCTTGGCAAAGGCAGCCTCACTCCAAACAATTTCAAACTATTGCTTTTCTCCTAAGTTCTCATGTTCCTGTAAGTCCCCGCTTCAGATTTTCCCCTTTTCTCTCACTTTTAGAACAAACCACAGTTGTTCTAGGCTGTTTTGAGTGTTTAGGGTGTCAGCTTTACTCTCTTATAATTTGAAGCTTAATTAGTATTTGGGTAAGCTTGGTCCTATCCTGAGAACTAGGCTTGCTGGGTGGGGATGGGTGATGTTCAGCCCAGAAATAAATGGAAAATAAATGAAGCTTTGGAGAAAAAAAAAAAAAAATTGTCCCTGAAGTGAGCTGCTTCTTAATTGCTATGAAATTCATCTGGGGCTCTGGGTGGTAAAGATAGAATGGAGTGTGTCATGGTGTGACATCCCACCTAAGCATCCTAGAGATTTTAGTAAAACTTGTCCGTGTGGTGTTAGAGTTGGGATGTCCTGGTGATTAATGAAGTACTGTGGTTATTTAAGAAATAAGACAGCCTAAAATAAAACCACCCAGACCCCCTCTGTGCTCAGTTCTCCCACAGCAGCTCAACAGCAGAAGATACTTTGTGCTGGAATTTAGTTGCAAAACATCCATGGGTTCAGTTGAAGAGGTGCTGTTTTTCAGCAACCAGGGCAGGTGTTGGTGCTTTGTCAGATGTCTGAAATCATAAACTTACAGACTTATTAAGGTTGGAAAACACCTTTAAGATCATCAAATCCAATAATCAGTCCAGCACCACTACATTCACCACCAGACCATGTCCCCAAGTGCCACATCCACAGGTTTTTTGGGCACTTCCAGGGATGGTAACTCCACCACCACTCTAGGCAGCCCATTCCAATGCTTTACAACTTTTTCCGTAAAGAAATTTTCCCTAATATCCAATCTAAACCACCCCTGGCACAACAGTGCACAGCTCCCAGGTAAGTATTTCTGCAGTCTGGTTAAATTGTGTAAATTTTTAGACCAGGCCAGGTAGCAAGCATGGCTGCAGGAGGAGCATCTCCTAAATAGGGACAGCTCCTTGTGGTGCCTTGAGGAGTGGTCTGCAGCATCCTGCCTGTCGTCCTCAACGTGACTTTATGGTGTGCTGGGAATGGCTTTGGCAGCAGACTGGGAAGCACAAATAATCCAAGTGATACAGTCCTGTGGGAGCTGGAAGTGATGCTGCAGGTGGTTCCTGGTCAGTCTTCTCCTGGATGGAGCCAAAGGAATGGGGAGGGTTTCTAGGTTGAGGTAATGAAGTGGTGTGTGCCCAGTGAGCACAGTGCTGGTACCAGCAGAGGTTTCTGACAGAGCTGTAGGTTCAGGTGTGTTTCTGAATGCACCTGGCCTTAATCTGAAAGGAGGGGAGATTTATATTAGATATCATGAAGGAATTGTTCCCTATGAGGGTGGCAAGGCCCTGGCACATAATGCCCAGAGCAGCTGTGGCTGCTCCTGGATCCCTGGAAGTGTCCAAGGTCAGGTTGGAGGGGGCTTGGAGCAGCCTGGGATAGTAGAGGATGTCCCTACCCATGGCAGGGGGTGGAATGAGATGGAATTTAAGGTCCCTTCCCACCCAAACCAATCTGGAACTCTGTGGCTCAGTAGTTTGTACCAAGCCACAGAAACAGAGAAAAGACACCTCACAGAGCAGCTAAGAGCAAACATTAATTTTGTGTGTGAGAGCCCAGTTTGTAGATAAAAAGTGTGAATAGGTTTGACTGAAGGGTCACCTGCCCAAATATCTGCAGCCCTGAGAGGATCAGGTGTTTCCCACCTGGAGGAAACTCCAGACCTCTGTGGAAGCTCCTTGCCTACCCTGAAGCAAGCCCTTCAGCTCATTCCCTCTTGCTGCTGAATCAGCCATGAAGAAGATGGCATGGCCTTAATTTTTTTCGATGTCAAGGCTGGGCCGAGCAGCTGCCTCAAAGCTTCACGGCACCAGCATGGCCAAGGTCAACTCATTGATTAGACCCAGCAGTAAGAGGGAAGGGTTTTTTGTCTTTTTCCAGATCTGCTTCATTGAGCACAGTATAAATGGGATTAGAAATGTCTAAACCTCATCAGCCAGGAGCTGCATGGGTGTCATAATTAAACTTGTTAATTGGCCAGAAAACAGGGCCTGAGAGTGAGCAGGGCAAGCATGTGGGGATGCAACCCTGTCTCTGCTCCAGCCTGGGAGATTTACAGCTTGGGGACAGCCTGAATAAGATTTTAGCTGTTGTTTCCAGGAGTCTTTTCTGAGCCCATCCTGTCTTTTCTCGGGCATATATTCACTCACAGTTCCTGTGCCGAGGTGTCCCATGGCTCCTGCTCCCATGCAGGGCTGCTCCTGCCTCCTGCTCCTTTCACCCAGGGTCTGCATCCTCTGCAGCCAGCACACCAGCAGCAGCTTCTCATCACCTACGGTGTCACAGAGTTCCAGCATGTCATGTGTTGCTGTGTTCCTGTGCCAGCTCTTCTGGAATAGATATTTTAAGGTTTCTCTGCAGTGGTGCAGATGGAGGAGGGAGCTGTTCAGCAGCAGTGGGGTAGTTGTGGGCTTTGAGTGGTTTCTTTTGTTGTTACTGGTGTTACTGTAGTGCCTAGAAAGGGAGCAGCACCGGTGGGTGTGCAGATGAAACCAGGTGACAAGTGGTGGTGCCAAGGTGAACATGAAGCAGTGAAAGTTGTCATAGGAAACAAAATAGCAGCAGGAAAGACATTTTCTTGCAGGCCTTCAACAGCCTGTAGTCAGCTTTGGATCCTTTTGAAGACAAATTAACCTCAAGTCAGTTCCTGTGATTCTTACTGCTGACAGTCAGTTTACTTTGGCTCTTCCTAGTGCAAAGGGAATGAGGAGAAATCAGGTGTTGCTTTCTTAATTCTTTAGTTCTGTTTCTGCTTATTTCTCTGCCTCCTTTCAGTAGTCCACTCTGTTTTGGTCACAAAAGTGTTTTGAAATGACCCTCTGTTGGATTTTCCCATCTGAAACAAACCCCATCTCTTCCTCCTGCAGACCTGCATGGCTGGGGGAA